GAGGGTAAAGCATAACTTCTTTAAGATGCGCGATATAAAAGTAAAATTTTATTTTAAACTTCTATAGGCGTAAAAAAATATTTAATGTACATCAATGTTATTTACTTAAGAAATCTAAATATATTTGTTCCTTCCTCTAGACAAAATCTATTGATTTTCAATAATTCAAGAGTCAGCAACAAAGTTCACATAGATAAATTTAACTGAGATTTACTTTGAATCGCATACGTTGGTATCTATGTGTCTTCTATACATCGTTTGTGACTAGATGCCTGTGTCAATATTAGCTTAATAAAGCTCGTGTGAATCTGCGCGAAACTATACACATATACAAACACCTCTACGTCTGAAGCTAATAATGTTTGCTCAATACCCAGAGCTTAAAAAAGATTTCATTATTTTTTTATTTTACAACGTGTGCTTATATGTTAATTACCTGAAATAAAAATAAAAAAATTTTGTAGTTTTTAATTCACAAAAAAATCTTAAGTCATTAATGTTTATTGCAGGTCGTTGGTGCTACTACTATCAATAACAGCGTGTCAAATTGCAGACGTAGCAGGAAGATTCGTAAGTTTATATAATACATACCTTTATTTCTTACTTGTATGAATAGAAATATGTGATATAAAATTATTGTTAATTATATCCAGTAGATAAGCTTGAGGACCAATGCTATTATAAATAATAAATATTAACACACAACAAGGAAGAAAATAAAGTTTTTATTGTAATCAACCGTATGTCTCTAGTAGCATTATGCGAAAGGGTTCGGAGGTGGATACTTTGGTTGTGACCTTGAAAGAGTTAAATCGCGAGAGCGAGAGAGAAAGAAAAATATTTAATGAAAAAAGAAAGAAGCATGTCTCCAGGGCCCAAACAAGTCCCGGCGGCATTCCTCTAACTTTTATTGCTTTCTCGCTTAGACGCCAATAAGCTGTACGGTAGATTCAGGTTTCTTCGTTTTCTGCCATCCCTTTTTACCTTTCCTCCTCATTCTTATTTTCTTTTTATTTAGAAAATATTCATTGTTGAGATGATGATTAATCTTTTTCAATAAGAATAAAATTATATAATGGACAAAAAATAACAGAAATTTTAATGAGAATCTGGTGTTTAATTGTCAGGAGTTTATTATTATAAATAATATTTTACTTTAATGACTTCATTTGTACTGAAAAAAAAAAAACAACATGTTTTTTTTCTTGGGCGTATAAAAATTCTTGTAATACATGGGTGATAATTTAGTCCTTGTAAAAAATTATGTTATTTTTTTTTAAATTGTTTCTTAGAGTTTTTTTATGAAAAAATTTTTCTTCAAAATCATTCAATTTTTTTTTTTTTATAAAATAATTTGGTTATTTATTTTTTGAACGGAAAAATTTTTTTTCGGTGTACAAAAATCAAAAAATAAAATAATTAGAAATCAATTTAAAGATTTAGTAAGAAATGTTTTAAGTTGTCCCTAAAAAAAAATCATTTCAATTTTTCTTTTTTTTTTTAATCGATAGATAAATAAATATTGAACCATTAATTTTATCTGAAGTACTAAAGAAAACAAATTCTTTCTTTGAACTTGATAAATTTTCAAAAGTGAGTAATCAAAATATACAAGGTAACATCAGATAGAATGACTAAATAAATATATGTATATTTGTATATTTGTATATTAGATGAGTAGTATTAAATGCAAAAACAAACTCAAAATATTTACGAAAGGTTTTCTAGGATTTGAGGAAAATTATTAGCAGTTTCGTAGAGAAGTCCTCAGAGAGGACATTGCACTTCCTTGACACGTGATCGCAGACGAGGCATTAGCATGAATTAGACGGATATATAATACTATACAAAGACGTAGAAAGGGTAACTAAACCAGTATAAGTCCTCACTAAGCTTTGCCATACATACAATAATACTCGTAGAATTATATACCCAGAAACAGAACTTGTAACTATGAGAATAAAAGCGAGGTCACTGGCTCACCCTGAAAGTGACCTCTCGTTTAGTTTCGTAATTTAGCCTCCGGCAAACCGCATACTCTGCTTTGGATAAGACTATGTAAACAAATTATACCTATATATTTGTATATAAATTCAAAGAAAACAACTTTGTATCCAAATAAATTCAGCAAGCTTCAAAAAAATTGTAGCCTCGTGAAAGAAATTTAAAAAAGTGGTTGACTGTTCAATTTAATGCAAACAAAGAAATCTAAATATAGTAACAGTGAAAAAAAATTCGGGTCGTAACATTGTTTTTATATAACTTTTATGCACTACATTAAAATTGCGCCCCGAGCTTTTATTTTTTAGCTGCGTCGTTATTTAATTAATTGTTTTTTTTTTTTGTTTTTTACGTTCAGTTCGGAGTTACAGCTATTTTTAGTATCAATATTAACTTTCGGTTAATGGAGTATCAATTTAGAAACGCCCGAACGTTCCGTTAATTGATTTATTACTGTAGTAAAAAAATTATTTTACTCTATTAAAAAAAAAAAAAAAAAAAAAAGAAATAAAAATACTTCTAAAAGTTAAAATATACAAAAGCCGCTTTATTTACATTTTACCGGAGCGCACTGTCATAATATACTTGCAAAGTAAAATTTCACATGACTACCTTAATTTTGAATAAGTGACCATTCAGTTGCAAATTCTAAACTTACAAACAGTGTGAGTTTAATAAAAGCTCAGAAAAACCATCCCTGTATAGGAATATAAAATTATGTGTACTCTTCACGCTCTACGAATTATTATAATTGTATACCTTCCACTTGTGAAACCGCAGATGAATAATAGACTAAAAAAAATTATGGCAACGTACATTGCTCTTGAAAACATTGAAATAAAAACCTAAGCTATAAATAATGATAATTTCATACCTTGAATTTTAATAATAAATTATTTGAGATGTGAACATAATTATTATTTTATATTCCACGGATATACTATACATTCTGTTGTTTAATTCTGATTTGTATTATGTAGAGTATGTGTAAGTGAATTATGCATTTGCGAATGGCAAACCTTCTAAGTACTTAAGAGAATTATGTAACTATTTATTAGCGGATTTTGAAGGTATGCTTAAATTGAGTCGAATGTTTGACCTCGATTCGGATGAATAAAAATAATATGTAGAGTTCGAAGTATGAAGATGAAATTTTTTTAAACATGGTAGTTTTTTGGTTTCTGATAGAAGAGAAAACAGTAAATAGATAAAATAGATTATTGTACGGTTAAACAATTAAAGAATTTGATATTTCACTTCATTAACATCTTTTTGGAACCCCTGAAAAAATGAAAAAATTTTTTGATTATTTTTTACAATAATTAATTTGTTATTACGAGGCATTTCATAGATATTTTATTTTTTAAGCTAATAATTCATAATTTTTATTCCTCAACTTAAAGTTTGTGATAAATCTATTGGATCATCATAAAAAATTCTGTACAAAAAAAAAAATTAACTTGATTCGATAGAAAAATTTTTGAACTAAGAAATTTTTCCTGGTTTTGTTTAATTAAAAAAATGTTCTTGATTCGAGACAATAAAGCTCTTCAAAATTATTTCTTGGTTCAAAAATTTTTCTCTTTAATTAAATTAATTTTTTTTTTTTTCAGTGTGGTCTTTTAAATTTGATGATTTATTCTTAATAAAAAACTTAATAAAGTTCAAAATATAAGTGATTAATTATGACAAATATAAAATTAATATTCAAAATACGCATAGCACAAAAATATGAATTTAAATTGAATAAAATGATGAATTAACAGACAGTAGTAGTTTATTAACCATCTGATGACTTGTTAGAATAAATTATTATGCGAGTAATTTCTTAATACTAGTAGTGTTGCTCATCACTTGAGATTAATATAAGTATATATTTATGTTTTAATCATTTGATTTATCGCCAAGTGACTATATACAAACAAACGTGGGTTAATAATAACGACTTAATAAAATAGCTCGCTCTATAATAAAAAAAAAAAACAAAAAAAAATATTTATTTTAAGAAATTGTATAAGTACATCATTAGGACATTGAAAATGTAAATTTGTTCAAATTAGGATTATAGTAGATAAAAATATAATAATTACATGTTATTAAGGTGAACTCGTTTGTAAAAGCGAAAACGCAGATAGCTTAAAAAAAATAACATTCAGCATACATACTTACCTTATACATAAAAGAAAGATCGTTGCCGTGAGCCATTCATACAACTTACTTCCCCTCTAATTACATCTTCCGAGCAAAGTACATCTTATAACACGTGCGCATCAAATAACCGCGTTAGTTGCGTCTACTGAGGGTTATTATCGCATTACACTTTTAAATAAACATAAAAAATTTTCTTACCTTTCTAATTCGAAAAAAAGGAACTCAATAAAATTATTCAGGCAATAAATATATTTTTTTGTGATAAAGAAGTAAATATATAGTAATTTCTCTTCGATAGAGCTTGAATTCAATGCCGTGAGCATATTACATTTAATTAATAACCCCATTAAAGATTTAATGAATACTCGATATTTAAATTTCAAAAATTATTTAATATTAATTTAACAATGTCGAATCGACAATTAAATTAATGTATCATTTAATTGCCATCGTTTAATATTACATATTTGGTATTCTTAAATTAAATTTCAATTCAAGTATTTTAAAATACATATAGAAATTTATTTACGATTTTTTTTGTGTTTTCTATGTAATTATTTTTTGAAAAATTAAAAAATTCAACATCTTTATTTGCAAAACCAGTTTCAATAGAAATTCTCAAGTTAAAAAACAATTTACATAAGATAATAAAATCTAAAAGTTATTCGTTGACATTTATATAAAAATGGGTCTAGATGATTCTAAACAATCTACCATATGAATAATAAATATCAAAAAAATACGAATGAAAACTCGACATATTATGTGACTCTCGTACAATAAACGTCAAAGTGTTTAAATTTTTTGCATCACTTTGATTTCTCAGATTTGAGCCTCGTATCTAAAGTATGGACATTACTCACGACATTCACGTCAAAAACTCTTCGTGCCGGAATCCTAAATGGTGAGAGATGATAAAAAAAAAAGAAGAAAAAAAAATATTACAAGCCTACGAATATGCGAATACTGCTATGGACACGTGCCAGAGCAGTCTGGCCCATTGAAATGTTATATATGACATCGTGTGCATGTTCCATAGTCACGACACAGTCGACAGTCAGTTTTAGTTATCATGCTACGCTTAAAAAAAAAATTTAACACCTAAATCCCCTCCGGTTTTATTTTTATTCTTTATCTTTTCTTTAAAAATAATTTAATTCAATTTGCGGCCCTCGAAGAAGTTAGAATTTATTTAAAAATACTATTCGCGGTGTAGAGAAAAAGTTTTAACTATGATATAGATTCCTCTTTTATATTGTATGAAGCCAAAAAAAAAATTTTATTCAAGTGCACAATTCTCTGTTATTATTATATTATATTATATTATATTATATTATATACTTACTCCTGTCATATTTTTTTTAATTAAAATTTTTTTTAGCGAATATTACTGTTATGTAAATTCTTGTATTTTTACAACTGATTATCTGTTACAGCATCATATAAAATTTCGACATGCAAGGCACAGGAGACAACATGCAGAAGGCTATTTGCCAAGCAGTTTCGTGGCTGAAAATGATGAACCTGAAGAGGGACTTTGGGGACCTTGGTCAGCACCTAGCTCGTGCTCTAGATCTTGCGGTGGCGGTGTAGCTCATCAAACACGACGATGCTTAGACACTGAGTAAGTTTGTTCTGCATATTATACGTATACTTGTGCGAGTGTGTGTGTGTTTCGTGCATGAACGTAAACCTCTCATAACTTTTAAACGGCTCGACCGATTCAAACGGGATAGACAGCAATCGAAAGAGTTTCTTTGCCCCTAGATATTTTAAACTATTTAAGGTGATTCGGGCCAATTGATTGTAAGTAATCTCGAAAATAAAATTTTCAGGAAATGTTTTTTTTTTTCAAATAAATTTTAATAATCTGCTGAATCAATCGTTTTCAAAAACTAATCAGCCCTTAAGCCCAAAAAACTGCGTCGATCGCCGTCAACGCGACCAAAATCGGTCGATTCGTTTGTGAGGTATCCGGAACAAAATATTTGGAAAAAAGTGTTTTTTTCTTACTCTCTTAAAAGGAATCAGTGGAATTTCACTGGTTCACCAGTGGAAGTTCACTGATTCCAACCAGTGAATGCAATGTCACTGGCGAATCAGTGGATTTCACTGATTCAACCAGTGGAGATACTAGCGCGCATGCGCGCAGATATTTTGTTCACTGATTCAATCAGTGGATTTCACTGATTCACCAGTGAAATTGCATCACTGGTTGGAATCAGTGAAATTCCACTGATTCCTTTTAAGAGAGTACATGCCATTAAATATTTAAACCTTGTGTGACTGGTAAATCAGGATTAAAATTAAATTAAAGATCGCAGCGGTGTTTTTTTTTTTATAAAACTCATTTTTAATTATACAAATTTTAAGTATTCATAAAAATAATATTTTTAAAAGATATTTTTTATAATTTGACGCAATTTTCTATAAACATTTGAAATTACTAAAAATTGATCATTAAATATCTCTGAAAATTTTGATTTTAGCGACTTGGTGCTTTAAACCTTTTTTTGTAGAAAATTGAATTTTCTACAAGTTTGTCATTTACATTTTTTCTGAAACTCTTGTTATTCACGAGATAAATGCAAAAAAACGCGAATTTTATAGAAAATTCAAGTTCAGAGGCCTGTACTACCTTGCCGGTTCGAGTTACGACTTGATGGCCGCAATGGACACTTTTAACCTTTACAAATCTAAAGGTCAAATAAGTTCAGTAGGTCGACATTTATTGTTATGAGTTGAAAAAATCGAATATTATCTATTTAAATGGGGTAATTATTTCATTATAAATTAGACGTACGAAACTGATTGTGTTAGTTGTCAAAAAAGTAAAAAAATTTATTAATATCTTCATCAACTTTATTTGAAATAAATATTTAGAAGAAGTAATTAAAAATTCATGACGTAAAATTGAAAAAAAAGTTTGTTTTATATTATAAAAAGCTTTAATTAATAGTTCTGGGTATTATATAGTTATCCATAGAATTTTCGAAACAAAGAGAGCGTGGAAAAAAATATATTAGTCGCGAACAAGGTAAAAAGAATCGTCGTCTCTATTCGTGCGTTTGGCTGAAATATAATTCACTGGAAACCGGTTTTGTCGGTAACCTAAATTTAATAGTATAGCGACCTCCCCGTAATATTCTCGCGTAAGAGTTGAATTATTTGGAAGCAGAAAACCAGAGGTTCAAACAAGAGGAAAAAGAATTAAAGAGAAAATTCAATGAAAAACTAAAAGATATTCTTTGTTAGTCATTTTTCAGCTTAAATTTTTGGCTCATTTTCCCACTTTATTTTTTTCCATTCATTTCTTGCACTCGTTCGCAAATATGAATCCCCTTCACCTCTCTTTCTCCTTTTTTCTTTAAGAAAAAACCAGGTTACAGGGTGAGGGTGAGTTATCCGCGATATTGAACCCAGTGATCTGTGAAACTCGATTAGAAATTTTACTATTTACTTTTCTTTATCCAAGTGCTCCGTAAAAATTTATATTTCCTATTTTTACTATTATGTTTTATGTATCTTACAGCAACAATGGATACGATAGATGCACTGGAGCTAAAAAGAGATTCTTCTCATGTAATATTCAAGTAAGTCAATATACTTCTGTTAATTTTATGTTTTTTTTATGATAATAACATATTCAATTTTTATATAAAATTTATGAATATTTAACAATTTATTTAGTAATATAACCCATGTAACTTAACAAATATTCATTAAAGGGGGTTCTGGGTACTCTGATTTAGAGGCACAAATTTTAGATGTTTTTTTAAGAGAAGGCTCATACCGATTTAATGTTAATCAATTCAGTAGTACTTGAGATATCATGTCCTCTTAAAGTAGTAACTTTATCTCTCAATATATTTTCAAAAGTTTAAATTAAACTAAAAAAATCAATTTTTTAGATTTTAAGATTAAAATAGTCTTTCGACAATTAATAAACTTTTTTGATAATGAATTTCTGGAAAAAAACTAATAATAATTTTAATTAAAACTTTATCAACATTTTACATTATATTAAGATGATTGATAAGAAAACAATGCTCCATAGAAACTAGAAAATAGACTTAATTATATATTGTTTAATATAAATTATCCCTTAGAGTAAAACAAAATAAAAAAATTAGCATAAAGTTAAAAAGGGAGTGGATTGAAAATACACCAAGTGAATAAACAGCATTAATCTTTTCATTTACAAAGTTTAAGTTTATAAAAATATATATACATTTTTATGATATAAATGAAATGTACTTAAAGTTAAATTTGTGTAATGTATATATAGTAAATGAAATAAACTTAGACACGTAAAGAATATAGGAGCGAAGACGAGAGTCTTACTTCTATTCTGTCGTTGGGTTGAGACTTTTCCTTGAATTAATTAGTCGCCATCTCGTTGATAAAGAATCCAAGTTAAGTTAAGAGTTTCTACTATACTCTTCCATTTGCACAGTTTGTACTATCTTATATACCACGTGCCTTTCTTTCTTTTATCTCTGTTATTTTCGTGACTTAAGATCCAATGATAACCTCGGGCGATTAGTATCATCTTTCTATACACACCGTCTAACTACCAATTACAACACGCTCAAATGATATCCAGAGACGGAAAAATTAATTTCTCTTTTTGTTGCTGCTGTTTTCCCCGAGAAACTATTTCATGTATTTTATTTCAGCATACAAATTTTTCTATGTTAATACTGTGAAAAAAAATAATAATAATAATAATAATGTTGTATCGTGAAATTGATACTAATTAGTAGAATGGTAGAAGAAGAATTTTGTCTGGATGTTTATTTTTTTTTTTTTTGTTACTGTCAAGAGTCATAAATGTCTTTTTTATCTTGATGAAATTTATCGGCAAAATACAAGAATAAGTGACAACCTTATACACAATAAATCTTATGATTTAAGTCAACTTTAATAAATGTCAGCTTCGGAAGCTATTAGACCAATTCCGTTGTTAAATTTAAAACCTCGTGAATTTCAGAATATTGTTAGTTTTTATTCTAACTATCAGTTTTAATATTGCTCAAATTATCTTGATACAAAACAAACAATTACATCATTTTATTTTACATAGACATAAATTCTTGTTTTTATTAATTGAATAAGTAAAAAATTAATTTTTAAAATTCATGACTCTTAATTAATAAATTATGATCTATACTACTAGTAATTTTCAACAATTCATAAAATTCTTTTTTTTTTAATACAATTAAAAATTTTATGTAGTAGAATTAATTTAAATACAATTATTAAATAAAAAATACTTTTTCTAATTAAAATTTGTTCTCTACTTTTTAAAAACCAAAAGCTAGTTATCAACTACGCCGTGAATTAAAAAAGTTATTGAAGTAAAGTAATTAAAAATTATTTGAAAATTCTAAAACCTCCACAGGGAGCACATAAGCTCAGATCACGAGACAAAATCAGAAACTTTCGAAATATATATTTATGTGCTTCTAAATAAATAGCATACGTAACTCTCAGCTCACATGATTCATATTTTAAAGCTTACCTTTATCTCCCACAAGAAAGTATGCATCTGAGAAAATGTCTCTGTTACATTGGCACGTCACACTCCGGCCTAACAGATATACACAGACGGATAAAAGTATAAAAATCCCAGCCCATATGTGACATTAACGCCATTTCTATGTCAGTTTCCTTCCATAAATCTTCAATGTATACCACGTGTTGTCCATTTCCCACAGGGTCTCTTCTTTTCCATTTTACACGAATTACATTTTATATGTATATATATATTTCTTCCTTCTTATGAGAGGTCCCCAGTCAATTTATCGACGTTACTCGACTATAAAATATTTCTTTTTTTTTTTGTTTTATCATTTATCCCAACCTAATCTCATAATAAATAAGTTTAAATCTAAAACGATCTATTATATATTCTTCATAACTTGATACAATTTTACGATACCACGTAACTTCCCTTGAGAGTTAAAGACACTATTGCAAGCTGTATATATTTTTCCCTATAATCGAACAATTTTTTTTAACAAGTAAAAAGTTACAAAATGACTATTAGTAGTAATAATTTACTGTGTTGTACAAATATTTTTTTATAAAAAATAATAAAATAAAATATTTAGGTCTAATTTTTGATTGTCATATGAAATAGGATAATCATATCAAAGAAGTTGATAAAAAATGTAATGAATAAAGAAGCCTTAAAATTGATTTACTACGCATTGTTTGAAAGTATTGTAACGTGAATGGGGGGGGGGGTAGTTATAAAAATGTAACGAAAGTGCTAATGAATATTCAAAATAAATTAATCCGATTTTTGTATGATAAAGATAATAAAACGCCGATATTGGGAATTGAAAATAAGTTTATACCAGAGTCATTATGTTATCATTATTCTTATTGTAAATAAGAATATAATAATTATAAGGGTAAAGCTAGAGCCAAACCCTTGCAATGACCAAAGATTAATAAAAATATTTCGTATAAAAACTCTAAATATATAGCAATTAAGTATTTTAATAAACTACCACAGACATTAAAGTCTTTAAATATAAAAAATAAACTTAATAAAAAAAAAAATATGTCAATGGATAGCATCAATTGATCTCTAATTCATGTTTACATCATTTGTTTCATAATATGCTTTCTTGTATTTTCACATTGAAATGATACTTTGTGCTTTAATATTAAGTTTTTGATAAGTTTTCTTATTCAGGTCTATGTACAGGTGTTTTGTAACACCTCTATAGGTGCATACTTTGTATGTATATAGTATTTTTGTATCCTGATAAATAAATAAATAAATAAAATAGAAATTAAAATATAAGTTAGAGTAATAAAGTATGGAAGTTATTTAAACAAGTTTATTATTTATTAAATTGTAGCCATGTCCAGGTGGTTCTGGGGACTTTCGTGCCGAGCAATGCGCCGAGTTCAACTCAGTGCCATACGAGGATGTGTTTTATGAGTGAGTATTATAACTTTCAAACAGTAGCCATTCATATCGGTGCACACAAATCCGGTAAAGCAAATCCTCTATTCTGTATACACATTTTTATACACATGTACTTGTATAAATAAAATACAAAATTGCATATAGGATTTTGCGGAAAAGTTTTGCGACAAAATAAGGAAATGTTTTCCCATATATTCCCATTAAATACATAGACAAACACTACAGGGATAAAAAATAAAATAATTTAATTTCAGCTGGGTCCCATACACCGGAGCGCCAAACAAATGCGAGCTTAACTGCATGCCGAAAGGCGAACGTTTCTTCTACAAACACAAGCTTGCAGTGGTTGACGGTACGCCGTGTGAAGTTGAAAAAAACGACGTTTGTGTTGGAGGGAAATGCATGGTAATCAATAATTACTCACTGGATTTTGTTTTAATTAATCCTTACTACTTTTTTTAAGACTCTATTGAAAGTTGAAAATAAACGAGTATAGTGTTGAAAAACGTGGAGTAGAATATCGACAATTTCGTCAGCCGTTAAATGAACTAAATTAAATATCGACTTTCTGTTGGATATTTCAGCCAGTGGGATGTGACATGATGCTGGGCAGCGATGCTCGAGAAGACGCTTGCAGAGAATGCGGCGGTGATGGCTCTGATTGCAACACCGTCAGCGGCTTCTTCGACACCGATGACCTCCAAGTTGGTTAGTCAATCCTCGAATTAACCCCCGTGACCTTTTGCGCTCTTCCGGAGTCTGACTACTTGTTCAATTTTGTTATTTATTTACTTTCCTTTTGCTTTTATTTAGTTTTTTCCTTATCGCAATAAATAACTAATATAATTAACCTCTATTTCAGGATATATTGATATTTTACTTATACCCGAAGGCGCTACTAATATTGCTATCAAGGAAATTGCACCTTCCAATAATTATCTAGGTAAGATTAGCATTAAGTGTTATTTATGCTATTTTAGTCATAAATGCAAGTTTTTTTTTTTGTTAATCGTGCAGACATTAAATAAGAACTAATTATTTATTGATTAGTTTCATCAGAATAAAAAGATTAAAATTTGATATAAAAACTCATGGTAGATGATCATTTTAAATCAACAGAAAATAATAAACTCCAACGAAATTTCAATAAAGCTTATGGTGATAGTGATTCTCTGTAAGGATGTTTTTTGCTGTCCCAGGCATTGTTTTATTAGAATAATTGTTATTTTATTACTAAAAAAAATTTATTATGAAAGCAAAAAAACATTTCTATTTGGAGCATTGAAAATTGAAATGAAATAAATTTTTGTTTTTTTGCTATAAATCGTAAACCACCAAAATGACAGTCCCCTGGGCTGTCCCACTCCCCAAATTAAAAATTTAAGATTAAATTTTAAGTTATTCGTTCATAATATATAATTTGATCCACAATGTTTATAAACTTAATTAGTTAACTAACAATCTTTTTCAATGAAAAGTACCGAAAATTAATTTGTTTTATTAATTTCATCAAATCGAAGTCTGTGCCCAGGCATTTTAAGTACAGTCCCCTGTCAGAAGTTCAAAGCCAAAAATAAAAAAATCCAGCTTGTTATTTTACCTTTTGTAAAGTTTATAAGGATCTAACTAGCCTTAAGTTAATAACCATAGGGCTGTTAGCGCTTTATCGCCATTTTATTTAGTGTTAAAGCACCGTTTGTGCTGGAAATATGTGTCTGGGCCACTACAAAACTCAGTCCCCTGGCAACTATTTTTATATGTAATTTATTTATAAAAATGGATCTATAAGTCTCAATATTATTCTAATTAATGTAAATATTCATTGAGAACTTAAAAAACTGAATGCATTGAAATAGTTTGCTTGATTTTTCTCAATTTGATAAGAAAAAAACAGTCCCCTGGCAACAGTCCCCTGTCATGTTACATGGCACAAGATACACAAATATCGAAAAAGCAAAAATTAATTCGGCTGTTTATTTATTATGATTAAGTTAATAGTTTTGTAGCCCTTGTTAATTTTTTTTCTAATAAAATCAAAAATAATTTAGTCGGACAACTTTGTATAGATTTAAGACGCCCTTACAGAGAATCACCCTTATATATGTTTCTATTAAATAGCCCACGGTTTCAATAATTTACGAACAATTTTAAATTGAAATTAACAACAGATTAATTTAGAGTGTAAATTTATATCTAAAATGCCTTTGTAATTTACTATATTATTAATATCAACAGATTTCTATTATGAGCAGTTAAATACATCAAAGTTTACAGTTTTAATATAAAATCATGCTTTAAACGCAGTCAAAGCTTGTATTTAATATACATATTTAATTAAGCATTATAAAGTTTTATTAATTAATAAAACAATGTAATTTAAACATTCATCTACAATAACAGCACTTTGTACTATTCATTGATTTAAAAAATGAAAAAACTCTCATTAGTCGAAGATTAAATTAATTTTAGATTTTAATCATGTTGAAATTTCACAAAAACTAATTAAACTTTGACTGTAAATTATTAATCAAATAATTATACTTTCAGCAATTCGTAATGCGTCTGGACATTATTATCTAAACGGCAATTGGAAAATAGACTTCCCTAGAAGTCTTAAATTTGCCAATACGATATTTCATTACGCGAGAGACGCGCAAGGTTTTTCAGCGCCGGACACAATCACAGCCTTGGGACCAACTAGTGAAGCGATTTATGTCGTCGTAAGTACAAATTATATTTATATAGATGTACATATTTATCTTTAGAGTACATAAATCCTTTTGTGTAAGATATACACTTAATAAATATTTACACAGATGTATTTATATATTTTAAAATATATCTATCTTATAATTAAGATGTCAATAAATATTTCATTGAAATATTGAGCTTTTAAATTATTCCTTTTCACTTACTCAGTTGCTCTATCAAGATCGAAACGTTGGGGTTGAATATAAATACAGTATTCCTAAAAAATTCTCTCCGCAAGCTGATCCTGACAGTTACACGTGGACTGCGGGTGAATTTTCCGAATGTAGTGCGACATGTGGTGGAGGTAAAATATTTTATTTTTTTTTTTTATTATTTATTTAAATCAAAACGGATATTGCATTTAAAAATGTAAATATAAATAAAAACTAACAGGGTATAAATCAAGACGAGTTAACTGTGTAAGACGGCGCAATAATGAGCCAGTTGACGAGAATCTGTGCGACCCACAATTAGAGCCCGATGACACCCAGTCTTGCGGCGATGAGGCATGTCCACCCGAATGGGTGGAAAGCAAATGGACGCCTTGTAGTAAACAATGCGGCGAAGGTGGTGAACGTACAAGAGAAATCAAGTGTGAGCAGATCATCGTTGGTGGTATACCGAGCATCGTTGACGACTCGATGTGCATTGAGAAACTTGGACCGAAGAAAGAGACCACCCAGGAATGCAATCGCAATGTTACATGTCCTACGTTTCATTTAGGACCTTGGAAACCAGTAAATACTTTGTTTTATTTTTTAATTATTTAATACTTTAATCAGATAATACTTACTCCGATCCGTGACCTTCTTTTAACTATCCTACCGTGTATATAATTAAATTGCAATCCAAAAATAAATATATCGCCTGAATAAGCTAAACGATTAAAGAAAAATTAATAATATTTTACTAACTAATTAAAGATTTTTTTTTACACGTTGAAATTTAAATTTAAACACTCTAGTCAATATAATTATTGAGTTTCCAGATATTTATTCGACGTAAAAGCTTTTTTAATTACACGTTTTACGAACTAGCTGAATGAATATCGTAACCTTTTATTATATTTAGCTAAACTCGACGCTGTTTTTTTATGTTATCCTCCCCCAAATATTTGCTACTCATTTAATTAATCAAATATTTCATTAATTAACAGTGTGATCATTTGTGTGGAGAAGGAAAACAAACAAGAAAAGTAACTTGTTACAAAAAAAATGACGAAGGTAAAATAGAAGTATTAGATGATTCAGCATGTGAGGGTGAAGTCCCAGAAAAAGAAAAACCATGTGAATTAAGACCTTGCGCTGGGCTTGATTGGGTCGTCTCTGAATGGAGTGGAGTAAGTTTTTTTTTTTTCGTTTTTTTTTTTTATTTATTTATACATCTACAATATTATATTATATTGCGTTCAATAGTAATTCCATTTTTCTTATTTTTATCACTGTCCTTATTTTGTTTAATTACACTTTATGAGGGTGTACCGAAAAACAAGCGATGATAATAATAAATGTATTTTAAGTGTGAAGATAAATGCGGACTCACTCAAGAAACAAGAACTGCTCATTGTGCCACTCAAGACGGTACTATTTATCCAGATGACAAGTGTGAGCCGGATAAAAAACCAGAGTTAACACGCGACTGTGAGAACACCAAAGGTTGTGAATATCAATGGTATACAACTCAGTGGAGTGAGGTAAATAAATTAAGTACCTAATTAAAATAAAGATAAATAAATTTGGAAGTGTATACAAGTGGGTACATAGTTTTAATTTTTAAATTTATCTTTTAGTGCTCGGCTAAATGCGGTAAAGGTGTACAAACTCGTAAAGTTTTTTGCGCAACATTTGAAAACGATGTTACATTGAAAAAAGTTGAAGACGAAAAATGCAAACCTGAGAAACGTTATAATGATACGAAAGAATGTACATCAGAAATTGTTGAATGCAAAGGCGAATGGTTTGCTGGTCCTTGGAGTAAAGTTAGTATATTATTAATTATTATTTTTATTATTATTAAAGCTTAAATTGATAAATATTTTTATTATTATTTTTATTTAAGTGTTCTAAACCATGTGGAGGTGGTGACATGACACGAAAAGTGATATGCTTAAAAGACGGTATGATTACTTCACCAGCTAATTGCGATGAAGACTCGATAATGTTTTCTTCTGAAGAATGCAATAAACATCCTTGTGGTAAAGGTAAATATAGCAATTATCTCTAATTACTCTATCGTATAGTAATAGTAAATTGATATGTCACTTGTCCATTAATCTCAATAAATTAATTGAAAAAGACTAACGATTATAAAATTAATTATTGATTGTAGATGAAGTAATTCCTGTAGAGCCAGGAAAAGATGAAATTCCGACCGATGAAGAAGATGATGATGACGATGAATGTGAAGTATATGAGGATGAAGACTTTGTAACGCTAGCTTCGAGTTTAAAAACAGATGAAGGCGAAACCGGAGAGACAGAACTATCAAGTTCTATGTCGCCTTTCGAGTCAACTGGTTTTAGTATGTCAACATTAGAAGATACAATGATGAGCGATGGGATGTATAGCCGTGGAGATATGACACCAACAGATTTTGAAAGTGGTTACACCAGCGGTGACGGAAGTGGTGACGATGAATTCACGCTATTTACTAATATTTACACAGACACCTCGTCAAATAGGGACTTTTCAACAATAGAGGGAAGTGGAGCAACCACAGACGAGGATACCACAGATATGGAAACTGATTTAACCACAGGAGTTTCAGTTAGTGAAGAATCGGAAGAAACTTCGGGCTCTACCGATATTTCTGATGTTACTGAAGCATCGATGTCAACTGACTCAACAAGTTCGAATATCGCTAGTAGTACTGATGAATCTGCAGCGACCGAATCTTCTGGCTCTACCGATGGGTCAAGTACGGAATCTTCGGGATCATCAGAAGCATCTGATGTTACAGAAGGATCTACTGAGGCATCTGGTGCAACGGAAGAATCTTCTGAGTCTAGTTCTAGCAGTACAGAATTCTTTGGTAGTACAGAAGCATCTGCTTCGTCAGAGTCAACGATATTTGAAAGCACAATTGAATCCTCGTCAGAAGCATCTACTGTAGATTCATCAGATATGTCTACAGAATCATCTGATTTTACTACGACAGAGTCTGGTTCATCCACAGTGGATTCTTCAACTTCATCAGACTCAAGCGCAAGTACTGAGTCAGATATGACGACAGTGTCATCAGAAACAGAATTAACCGAGTCATCACAGTCTACTGAATCTCAGCCGACAGAAACAACTGAACCGACGGAAACAACCGAGCCAACGGAAACAACTTCTTCTGAAGAAACACCAACAACTTCTTCTGAAGAAACACCAACAACTTCTTCTGAAGAAACACAAACAACTTCTTCTACAGACACATCTGTAACTGAAACAACGGTATCTTCAACTGATACATCTGACGTCAGTGAAACGTCACAGAGTTCTTCAGGATCTGAGACTACGTCAGAATTGCCATTCACTATTCTGCCTGTTGACGGAGAGAGCGATTCTGAAGGCCTGCGTAAAGACCTTGAGTCATCTTCAGAATCTTCAGAACCGACAGATGATACAACTGGTGGTTCCGAAAGCTCATCTGAAGTTAGTACGACTGAAGTATCTGGTTCTACTGACTTATCTACGACAGAATCATCAACAGAGTCTTCTGAAATGACAGAGTCTGGCAGCACTGATCAGTCAACATCAGGTTCTAGTGATACTACTGAGTCTGGAATGACAACTGAATCTGGAGCTACAACCGAATCAGGAGCATCAACTGAATCTAGTGGTTCTACAGAATCAGGAGCTACAACTGAATCTGGTGGAACTACAGAATCAGGAGTGTCAACTGAATCTGATGGTACTACAGAGTCAGGAGCTACAACTGAATCAGGAGCTACTAGCGAGTCAGAATCATCCACAGAATTAACTGGCAGCACAGAATCAGTTGGCTCTACTGAGACTGAAACAGAAGCGTCGACAGTTTCTGGTGAAACAACAGAATCTGGAGCTACTACTGAAAGCGGTATGACAGAAGAAAGCACTGTGTCCGGCACTACTTCAACTGATGAAGAAGAAACTGACATGACTGGAAAATCAGACATATTGGACTTGTTTACAACGATAAGTCCAGTAGACGCAGCGATATCCAAAGAGCACAAACTCAGAAAATGTAAAGTTAAGAGGAAGAAGAAGAAGTCCTGCAGAACTTCTGAGTTTAACTGCTGCTATGACGGAATTACGCCGGCTCAAGGACCGTTTGGAAAAGGCTGCCCAACTCCACAAACTTGTGCTGAGACCACTTTTGGTTGTTGTCCGGACGGGGTGTCAGTTGCCGCTGGGCCAAAGAACGAAGACTGTCCATCAATGCATTGCAATGAAAGTCTATTTGGATGCTGTCAAGACGGAGTCACTCCCGCCGAAGGCAACGACTTTGAAGGCTGCAAAAAGCCGTGCAACCAGACCGAATTTGGATGCTGTCCGGATAATGAAACTCCAGCGGATGGCAAAAATAATTTGGGATGTTGCAATTCTACTGAATTTGGCTGTTGTCCTGATAGGATCAAATCTGCGACCGGACCGAATGAAAAAGGCTGTGAAGAAGAAACGACAGAAGAAACTAGAGAGTTTGAAAGTACAACACCCTTCGAAGGAGACTGTGCCAATGCCGCGCACGGATGTTGTCCTGATGGAAAAACTCCAGCGACTGGAGCCAACTTTGAAGGCTGCGGAGTTATCAATGCTGAAAATTGTACTGCTTCTTACTTTGGATGCTGCGCAGATGGTGTCACTCCAGCACTGGGTGAACGAGGTGAAGGATGTCATTCGGCTTGCGAGTCGTCAACTCACGGCTGCTGTCCAGATCGTCTTACTCCAGCTCACGGACCTGGTGGTGAAGGATGTTGCTTAACGTCTCCTTATGGATGCTGTCCTGACAACATTCTCCCAGCCAGAGGACCAGACTTTTATGGATGTGGGTGTGAGTACTCCCGTTTCCGCTGCTGTCCTGACAATGTCACCGTAGCCCGTGGACACAACAACGAAGGATGTGGGTGCCAATACACACCCCACGGATGTTGTCCCAATAAATTCACTCCCGCAACTGGACCCAACTTTGAAGGATGTCCATGCTACACCTATCAATTTGGTTGCTGTCCGGATGGGGTTACTATCGCCAAAGGGCCTCGAGGCCATGGATGCGGCTGCGAAAGCACTGAATTCGGCTGCTGCTCAGACGACCGGACTCCGGCCAAAGGACCGAACTTCGCAGGATGCACTTGCGATACATCTAAGTACGGCTGCTGCTCAGATGGAGTCGAAGAAGCACAAGGAGAAAACTTTGAAGGCTGTCGCACTGTGCCGGTTGTTCCTGGAGCTGCTTGTTCTCTTTCCAGAGATCGTGGTTCCTGTCGCGACTTTAGTGTCAAATGGTTCTTTGACACTGAGTATGGTGGATGTTCACGCTTTTGGTACGGTGGCTGCGAGGGTAATGACAATCGTTTCAAAACCCAAGAGGATTGTAAAAATACTTGTGTATCTCCTACAGGACGAGGTGAATTATTTGTTTTTTTTAATAATTCAAGAGTTGTATTTTAGTCATTGAGCCAAGAAACATTTTTGAAAATTTCTTTTAGCGAAGTTTATAAATAAGTAATTTTTATTTTATATTATTTATTTGTTAGTAAATTTTTGGTAATGAAATTGAAATTTCCTGAGCTTTAAAATATAAAATAATAAAAGAAAAATAGCAAAAAATGAAAGAGAACACAGAAAAAAAAATTAACGTGAATCAAGTAAATAATTTTGAAGAATTTCATCTTCTTGACTTAAGTAGAAAAATTCTTAAACTGAGAAATTTTTCTTGGTTTAAGTAAATTTTCTTTAATTCTAGAATTTTTTGTCTTGATTCAAGACAATCAAACTCTTTAAAATTATTTTTTTGCTTCAAGAATTTTTCTCTTGATTTAAGTTAATTTTTTTTTTTCAGTGAAATACCGGTTTTGCCTACTTTAAATTTGAGTTAATGTGTAGAAAATTCAAATATTAAACTATTTTCATAAAACTTTGAAACTTTGATATTCATACGAACCGCATTTATGATATTATTATGTTTATAAATTTACACAATAATTTGAACATCAATTCAGACAAGTTGCGAAAAAAGGTACATTGGCTACAAATGGTACTTTCATCCTATTTAAATCTACAATGTAGCTATTGCAAGTCTCTCTCGTAGAAAAAAAAATAAAAATACGCGTAACATAATAATTTTACATATCTCATTAGAAAATCAATAAATTTTACCATATCTCAGGAAATTTTTTAAAATAGCATTATTTAGGACATGAAATTTTAGGGGAAAAGTTAAATAAAATTTTCGATAAGAAAATTTTATAAAATACACTTTTGTTGAGCTTTATGACTAGATATATCTCCCTAACAAAATTAATATAACATTTTTAACATTATTTTTTTATTTTGCAATAAATAGATGTTTGTTACTTACCCAAAAGTACTGGCCCATGTGAAGGGTACTACCCGATGTGGTATTACGACAGTGAAAGAAAACAATGTGGACAATTTATTTATGGCGGGTGTCTTGGTAATAATAATAAATTCAAAACTCACGAAGAATGTGAACAACTTTGCGTAGTTCGAGATGACAGTGGTAAATTATATAAATTTATCCTTAATAATTAAAAATATTACCTTAAAACTATAAGCAATTCACGCTATAATTATTCATACTAAATTATAATTATTTTAGATCCATGTGGGTTAGATAAAGAATCAGGACCATGCGAAGGTAACTTTACACGGTGGTACTTCAACAAAGATTCTCAAGCGTGCGAACAATTCCGTTACGGTGGCTGCAAATCTAATACTAATAATTTCCCAACTGAAGTTGCTTGTCACCAGCAATGTCTTCAACCAGGCCGCAGTAAAGGTAAATTATAATACCTTATTCAACCCTGCTTGAAAAGAATGAATTTATTTTATTTTGTTTTTTGAATTTAATCAACGTTGAGTTAAACGCACAGTGTAAAAAATTAGCTAAGAAAAATAAGGGAATGGCACTAACCCGTTTGTTAGATGGATAGAGAATTATATACATTCAACATGTATGAAGTTGATGAATTTTACAGTAACCCAAGAAGTATGTACACTGGACAAAGATCCCGGGCCTTGTCCGGGCTCTTTACTGCGTTGGTATTACGATGAAAAACGCCGGGCATGTAGACAATTTGTTTACGGTGGTTGTAAAGGCAACGGCAATAAATTCCGTACACGCGCGGACTGTGAGCAACGTTGTCCGATTCGAGGTATACAGCAACAATCAAAGTCGTATAATTTGAGGTGTTTAGAGATCTATACACCTATATATACCTCATCAGCTTTTATAAATATATACGCCGGTGACGGTAAACTTTGCGCTGTGCCTCTCGTTCGTCTAGATTTCATTTATTTATTTTTTATACATGTCAATTAGAATTTATTTAATTACAATTTAGTAATCATTGCTGCTAAAGGTGATGGTTTTTTTATTAGATTTGTTTTTCACGTCAATCCTTTGATATCCGTTGCCTTTTTCGCATATATTTTTATTTATTTAATCCATTAGTATAAAAGACGGGGAGGCAAAATGATGATTACTAAGAAAATTATTTACTTTCGTAAAAACGGAGTCGTCAAATTTTTTTAATTGAAAAAAAAAAATCAAATTTTAAATTGCGGACAAAACGAGGTTGAATTAAATTAAAAAAAAAAAAAATTAATTATTTATTTATTTATTTATTTTTATAATCTTAAAAAAAAATTTTTTCATCAAAATTTTTACTACTATATTGTATTCGCATAAACCTATTTTGCTCCCTTGTCTCCTGTAATTTTTTATTCTTAGATAATTGAGTAGTAATCAAAGTAGTTATAAACAAAGTAGAAAGTATTATTAATATAATTATTTAATATTTTGTATTGCTCTAATAATATATGTAACGAAAATTGCATGACTAATACTTATAAATTGGTGGATTTATGAATGATAATAGATTCTTGCTCACTACCAAGAGCTGAAGGTAATTGCACGGAAAAGTATTCAAAGTGGTACTTTGATCATTCGGAAAATAGATGCATGCCATTCTATTACACAGGATGTGGTGGAAATAAAAATAATTATGACTCTAGAGATGCATGTGAGGTAGATTGCCCTCCTAAGATTGGTAAGAATAACAAATAATTAACTTCAACAAGTCTATAAATTGCAGATAATAAAATAATAAAATTAATTTTCATTATCCAAATTAACATTCCAAAAAATCATTAATTATAAACTATTCATTTCATAATTCACTTAATATAACTATTTAAAGAAAAACAATTATTTAATCAGTGACATTTAACTACTAATTTGGATTGTTGACTGACGGGAATTTATTGAACAGCGAATCAACGTTTATAAACTAATAATTCAGTTCCAATATTAAATATTAAATAAACAAACATAACAAGCTTCAACATGTACGTGTACTTAATGAAAATTAATTTGTGGAATCAATAATAATTTTAATTAAATTAAATTACTGTGGTATTATCATTATAATTAATTAAATTAATAAATATAGAGCAAGACCTTTGTCTTCTACCCGCACTTCTTGGCGAGTGCCATAATTACACTCAACGGTGGTATTATGACTCGTTTGAGCAACGATGCCGACAATTCTTTTACGGTGGCTGTGGAGGCAACGAGAATAACTTTAATACTGAAGAAGACTGTTCTAATAGATGTGTTGCTTCTGTAACTAAGCCACCAAATAGACCACAAAGCTTTTCTCCAGGTAATTTTTTTTTCTTAATTAATTAAAGACTTTTTTCCGTGGTTTAAAATTTTAAATTAGATTGATTTTTTATTTATTTACTTTTCCCCTTCGAAAAAGGTAAAATTTTATCGGCAATTTCGTTAAATAATTTAGAACACCTGTATAAATTCGTTAACGCACTTAGAGCTAATCTTTTAAATAGCTTACGCGTTACTGAATTTTTAACAGCTCAGACAACAGAATTATGCTTCAATATTGCACGACTTATGATGCGAAGCATCAGAGAGTAGTTCACAATCGAAATTATATTTTCTACGGCTAATTTCAGCAATGTGTTTCCTTCCCGATGAGCATGGACCTTGTAAGAACGAGCAAGTGAAATGGTTCTATGACAGCAGAGACGGCATTTGTAAGCAATTCCGTTACGGTGGGTGTGCAAGCAATGGAAATAAATTTGAATCACGCGAAGAGTGTGAATACCGCTGCGGAGAAGTTCAAGGTAAAATATTTAATAAAAGTAGGAAAATCCAAAAATACATACCGCGAATGCGCATATTTTTATTAAAAAGAAAAAAATTAATAAACTTAAAAAGTGATAAAAGTATGATAAATTTAATGAATCTCTCATTTCAAAATTAATTACAATAACAAATAAATGTACATTTATAATTACAGACTTATGTACAATGCCGAAAGTTGTTGGACCATGCAGTGGCTCGATAATTCAATTTTACTACAACCACGAAACTGATACTTGCGAAGAGTTTGAATACAGCGAATGCGGTGGTAACAAAAATCGTTTCCCGGATAATGCAAGCTGTGAGAGTAAATGTAAACGGAGACGACCACCACCGCCACCACCACCACCCGTACCAGAATCACAGGCATCAACATCTAGACCAGACTCTGATATTCTTCCTAATAGCCCTATTTGCTTAGCTCCTGTTGATGCCGGTCCATGTAATTCCGAAATTACGGCTTACTATTACGACCCTCAAACCCAGGCATGTCAAGCTTTCATTTACGGTGGATGTGAAGGCAACGCCAATAGATTCCAGAGTGAAGAGCAGTGTGAAAGACTTTGCGGTCGTTTTCAGGGTCAAGGTAATTGTTATAATAATTACACATCAATCAAAGACAATCTGATTTTAAATTTAATATAATTTCTTTTTTTTTCAGACTCCTGCAACCTTCCATCAGATGCTGGACCGTGTAGAGGCAATTTCATAAAATACTTTTACGATCCAAATGCTCGTGCTTGTCGTCAATTTTATTACAGTGGTTGTGACGGAAACGCAAACAGATTTAGCACAGTTCTCGAGTGCGAATCTGTTTGTTTACACCGCGAAGAACCAACGCCTGCTGGCAACAATACTGGACTCTCTCACTTTGGTAAAAAAAAAACTGACTCATTATTTTATTTTATAAAATAAAAACTAACGTGTTTTTTTTTTTTTTTTTTTATTTTAAATGCATGTATTTTTAAATACTAATTAAGTAAGTAGACAAAGATTTATAAAACTAACATTTAATGGTTGTGTAATGATGGTAATGGTTTAGCTATTTGCCGAGAGCCGGTGGATGTTGGAACATGTCCAACTGGTAATTACAAAAGATTTTATTTCGACGAAGAACGTCGCACTTGCATGGCATTTGTTTATACTGGTTGTGGTGGAAATCGTAACAGATTCAAGACTTTTGAGTCTTGTATGCACACATGCTACAGAGGTGAGCTAACAACTGGTTCAACATTTATTGTTCCACCTAATTAGCTTTTTCCAGTATTAACAATTTAATAATTAACCTCATTAATATCTTTATTAATAAACTAGCAACCTTGCAGTCACCATGTGACTGACGTGACTTGTGAAATATAAATAAATAAAATTTTGCTTTATTAAATAATGACTTTTGTTAAATTGCACTTTACTTTTTTAACTATTGACATTTTTAAAGATATAAGCTCATCCCGATGTTACACTCATCAAGAGCTTTCATTTGAGTACCCACAAGCATTTTGATATATTTTTCATATATACATATATATATAATATATATAAATATATAAAAAATTGATGTGGGTACTCAAATGAAAGGTCTCGATGAGTGTAATGTCGGAGTGAGCTTATATCTTTAAAAATGTCAATATTTCAGAAGATACAAGGTCGTTTCTTAATTATGTTAAATTGCACTGCACTTTCTTAACTATTGAAGTTTTTAAAGATATAAGCTCATCCCGATTTTACACTCATCAAGAGTTTTCATTTGAGTACCCAAAAGCATTTTGATATATTTTTCATATATACATATATATAATATATATATATAAATATATGAAAAATTGATGTGGGTACTTAAATGAAAGGTCTCGATGAGTGTAATTTCGGAGTGAGCTTATATCTTTAAAAATGTCAATAGTTCACAAGATACAAGGTCATTTCTTAATGATGTATCTAGAGATAGAGCATTTTCGAATGAAGCTTAAATACTTATGACACTAAATTTCACTAAAAATTTCACTAAAAAATTTCATTAAAAAAATCGATTTTATCATATGACTATCTTGGACACAAAATTTTTCTTATTCTCTTAATAATATAGATAATTATAATAACAATAATACTAAATATTTATCGCCTTACAGCGAGCAACGAAATAGAAGACGTAGATAATAGAAATGTGTCTAAAGACCCATGCGTCGAGGCGAAGGACGAATGCAATACAGTTCAATGTCCTTACGGCAAAGAAGCTTACGTTGACGATCAAGATTGTGAGCGCTGTCGATGTGCTGATCCTTGTAGAAGTGTTAATTGTCCAGAGGGATCTAGATGTTCGATAACTTTGGCAGCTTCGGCTGATCAAGGAACAGAATACAGAGCAGTTTGTCGAACAAGTAATTAAAATTTAATTATTTATTGATTTTGCACATAATTAATTGCTATAATAATAATAATAATAATAATAATAATAATAATAATAAAAATAATATTAATTAATATCATAATGTGATGGTTTATTCAGTTACCAAGCCAGGTCGCTGTCCAACAGTATCGTACAGTACAAGGTGTGAAAAAGAGTGTGAAACAGATGCGGAATGCCCTGGTGAACATAAATGTTGCGACAATGGATGCGGTACATCGTGTTTAGAGCCTGCGTCTGAAGAACCTCTCGTAACACCACCGCCGACTTATAATCTGACAGCACCACCTTATGGAGCTGAGCCAGCTGCTATTCAACAACCGACAGAACCGCATGTAAGCGGTGAAGAGGGTGGATACGTCAGTATGAAGTGTATTGCTACAGGAAATCCTACGCCCATTATCACGTGGAGAAAAGATGCTACGGTGGTAAGTCAATTCTTTTTTGTGCATCTCTATTTTTTAAATTCCTACTCCATCAATATTTTATTTGTCTATTTATTTAAAAATTCCACGAATTTTTTGCTGTGTTTGTATTAATTAAGTTTTAATTTGTGTAAAAAAGATTTAATTTTATCTCCAATTTCTTAGACGTCCGTTTGTAGCGAATGAATGTACTAATCGATACAGACGATATCTCTCGAAAAAACACAACCAATCTACTTGATTCTTTTCGCAATCGATTGAAACTATTAAAATACAGCTCGCTATCGTAAATCACTATCGTAGACCTTTTAATTTAATTATATTAAAATAAATCTAAGTACGACAAACAGCGACTTTTTGTATTTTTTTATCTGTAAGGTGAAAGTCTAATAGCAAGCCAATTTAACCCGAAGTGGTCACACTTATTAAAAATAACGTAGTGGTCATACTGGGTCTAGTTGACCCCATGTACGGAAAAAATTGTTGCTACTTGCGTTCTTTTCAATATTTTCACTCGAGCCATACATGAGAGTAATTCTTAACACTTCCGTTGAATAACTCAATTGTTTTTTAATTGTTTAATTATAAAAAAAAAAATGCGAGAAAGTCAAATTTTGAAAAATTTGACTTTTTTTTACTAAAAATTTCATTTTTTAAGATAAATGAAAATGACCTCCGGGCTTCAACTCCGGATATCGCATCCTTTGAAAAAAAAAATGGTGTCATGTCGAGCTTTCCAAAAAGTATATTGATTTGTGCAATTGAAATCATAAATTTCCATGAATTTCCAAAAATTTTCAAACAATAATACATGGTACCACAAATACCATTTTTAATGATATCTTCGAAGCAAGAGCAACTCAAAAATTGCCTGGGGTCATCTAGACCCATGATGACCACATCGGGTTAAATTTAATTTTATTTATCATTAAAATTATTTTTTAGATTAATCCCGCAGAGAAGAGACGACGAATATTGCTAGATGGAACATTAGAAATTATAAACTTGTATAGTTACGACAGAGGAACATACATTTGTTTCGCTGACAATGGACTCGCGCCATCCGTTAAGACTGAATATCAATTAGAAGTCACAGGTAAGATTATTTTAATGCTTGTTAGTAATAAATGAATAATAATATTAATATTGAATAACAATTAATAACATGGTGTTTGGATTAACTAAATAAGTTTTTGGCATGTGGTTTTTCTACTCTTACTCTAGAACCTCATGAGCGTCAAGCGGCTATTGTCGGTGAACCAAATACTTATGTAACAGTAACAATGAACTCACCGACGACTCTTTATTGCTATGCAATGGGCTGGCCACGTCCTTTTGTAACCTGGTGGCACGGAGATCGCATGCTTCCATTATCTTCTGATCACTATGAGCAAGATTCTGAGTACACGTTATTAATTCGCTCTGTAACTCTAACAAATCTCGGTGTCTATACTTGTCAAGCTTACAACGGTATCCAACGGCCTTCCTCATGGTCTGTGACACTTCAAGCGATAGGACCGGTCTATAATGTTAAGCCAGAATATCAGGAGTATACTAAATACCTTGTTGAGCCTCCTAAGCGGCCTAACAACACTGATAACAGACCACAGTACCCATACAGACCATCACGAACCCAAGCTCCTCATTATAACCAAACTTACGTTCCTATTCGTACTACTCGTCCTACTCCTAGGCCATATATTCCTGCTGTAATTCCTATCACTGAACCTCCACCAGAACCATCTCAATTGAAAGGTGAGGTTTCCTTGATACTTTTTGTTTTTCTATTGCTTCATTACTAAAAAAATTTTACTAAATCTGGCAAATATTACATTTTTAATTAATTATTTTAACTACTTGCTTGAATTAAATTTTGCTACGTTTTTTATACCTCTGCATGTTAGCGCTTGAGGGGTTACATGGGTTTCACGGTTTCAAAAAATGGATTTTTTTTTTAAATGTTTTATTAAATTCTACAACATCTCTAGAATATTGTCCTAAAGTTTCAAATTGATCCAAATAATAGTTTCGGAGAAACAGTTTTAAAAAATTGCGTGCTCAAGGCGCTATTGTATTTAACAAAACTTGTCACTTAAAACTTTAAATGCGTTTTTCTGAAAACTATGTTTTCAAAGACGGTGCTCAAGAACTACTCAACCGATCTTGATGAAATTTTAGACAGGTCTTCATGATATAATTTACAAGGTCTTGAACGAAAGATTTTTTTTTTTTTCAATTACAATTATTTAAAAAAAAAATGCCGAGAAATTTTAGGCAAATTTTTAATTTTTTTGTAAAAACCTCTACCAAAAATCAAATTTTTATTTTTTTTTCCTTCGTTCAAGACCTAGTTTGAAGTCTTAACTAAGACACATATTTTTTTTTTCACTTCAAATAATCCTGCTAGGAGTTTTTAATATTTTTTTTTTTTTGTAATTTCAGTAATCCCTTATTAAACATGTATCTTTAAGACCGTAAAAAGTTTGAATAAAATATTTCATTTTTTCTATTAAAAAAAATTGTTGAAAATAGGCCATTTTTTCCCGGAGGAAACCCATGTAACCCCTTAATTATAATTTATTGTATTTTTAAGTAAAAAATTTGTTTACTTTTTCCAGTTATTTTAATTGCTTGTATATGATATTTGATAATAAATTTAGTAACATATTAAATAAATTATCTTTTAACACAGTACCAGTTGTTGTCAATGTAACATCATCAGGGAATAAATTCCCAGTAGGAAGTGATTTCAGTATTGCTTGTACTGTTGACGGTTATCCAATTCCTCAAGTACTCTGGTACAAAGATAATGAAATACTCAGAACAGATGGACGAATTTCTATTTCTGGTAATTCAAAATATTTATAATAAATTTTTATACATTGACATATACAAACAATATCTAATATTTAAAAATTTTTTAATTTATATTCATAAATATAGAAACAAACAGGCTTATGATTACGAACGCTGGTTACAATGATACTGGAAAATATCGTTGTGAAGCTAATAACGGTTATTCAAATGATTCAGCCGAAATAGACATTGCTGTTGAAGGTATAAAATTTTGTTTAAATCAACAATTGTTTTTTATTTATTTATTTATGAATAAATGACTTATATTTTTTTTACAGGCACACATATTGATCCCGAGTGTCAGGATAATACATTCTTCGCTCGATGTGACTTGATAGTAATTGCTAAATATTGTCAGCATAAGTATTACGCTAAATTCTGTTGTAGATCATGTACTGAAGCAGGACAACTGCCTCCGGCAAATCTTTATCTCAAAGATTCAGCTCGAAGAAAAAAAAGATCATTTAGGAATATTTTCTAAGCAAGTGCACGAGTCATTTCTTAAATAAAAGAAAAATAGTTAATATTAATAATGATAATAGTTATAATGACAACAGAATTAAAATTACTCCATTATGCCTGTTTAAATCGAGACAAACCATTAATTTATATTTATATATTAAATGTAAATGTCTCGAAGGCTAAATCGAATCCAATCGAGTCTCGTTCACTGCCAAAGCCTTAGAACGTTTATGCATAGATACTTATGGAGTACGAATTATAATAATAATTAAAATAATCTAAAGATGACCACAGTATCCATGTAAACACGATCTGAAGCTAATTAACTAGTCGTTAAGGAACTGCGTGTCAGTACTCTTAAGTCATCCACTTCTGTACAATTATGAAACATTCTTAATATTATTTTAATATTATTATTATTATTATTATTATTATTGATATTTTTATAATTATAATTTTGTAAGTAGATTTAATGTCTGAATAGTTTAAATTTCAATTCTGTAATTTCTTGAATATTTTTTTCAACGATTTTATATTTTGCCATGAAAAATATCAAAGAAGATAAAGAAAAAATGCTAACGATTATTTTATAAAATTAAATGATTAATAGTTTATAAAATATATCTTTTATGCCATTTACACGTACTTTAAACAATTAAATTAACTAATTTTTTGTATTGTTTTTTTAATGAATGTTTATTAAATTTTTATATTAATTAATTTTCACCGAGCTTCCAATTTATTGGAAATTAAAAATAAATATTTACTTGTTATTTCATGTTTTATAAGTTTTAGTTCTATTACGTCAGTTTAATTACGTATTGATAATAAGATTATTTATAAAAATGTTTTTATACCATAAAATTTCTCGATTTTTTTAAATTTTATCACCAAAAATATGATACATTGTATAGGTATATTTAATAAAATTATTAACTATAGAGAAATATAGAAAAAATCAAAAAAAAAGTTTAAGAACAAAAATATCAGTAAAACCACTGAATGTTTGTATGTTCATATATATATAGATATAAATTTATTAAATCTTCTAAAACATATCGATCATCATCGACTAATTAAATAAAAATATTTAATCAATGAGAATCATTTGTAATCAGACAAGATATACATTTCGACGGTCTAATTAGCAATTTGTCTAACTCCTTATTTTTTAGAGGGTGATTTTTTAATATTTTGATGTAGCAATAATCAGATTATAAATTATTTGAATGATTCAAACCTAAATATGATATGTCTATTAGGTATTAATGATATTAAATGGTTTTTTAAAGAGATAATAAATTTTGAACTAATTGTTTTTTTCGTACAAATAGAAGATTCTCTAAAATAGACAATTTGCTAATTAGAACGTCGATTTTTAAAATAAATATCGTCACTTTGCACTAGGCAATAACTGAAAGGATTTATCAAATTGTTGAACGTTTAATTAACTCATATTAATCAACATACAAATGTAAAAGAAAAAAAAAACGTTTACTGTTAAACATATTATTCTATATCAATCAGATTTAAAGAAAAAAACAACGCAGTGCCTTAAATAATGATGTAGATTAGTAAAAAAAAAAAATTGGTAAAATGAAAATTTATTTATAATTCATTTAAAAAATAAAATATTGTCTTTAGCCGTAATAAAAAAGACGTATCTAAAACATATATACATATATTGAAATGAATAAAGTACATATATCTATAACAATTAGTGTATAATAAGAAATAGATTGTATCATTAATAATTAATTATTCCATTTTTTATGTTAATAATAAATTAAAGTTAGAATTTTTATGTACATTTTTTTAAGTATCTTTTATTTTTTTTTTAATAATTTTTTCGCAATCAAACCCACTTAGTCTTTTAATGTATGCTTGAAATATAATTTAATAATTTTCAAAGTACTCCTCTGATTTTAGTCAAGTACTTTATATTAATATTTAATGGAAAAATGATTTACTTCATATTAAATAAAACCATTCACTTATTAATTGTAATGTACAATTTCAAAATATCATAAATTTAAATGAAATAACCGATTGCAATTTCTTAATTGTATTTGTAATAAAAGTATTAATATGTAAACATATGATTATTATATTATAATATTAATATAATAAAATAAAAAAAATATATAAACGTGTATGTAATGTCACGATAAAAAATGTTAAATGAAATAGTGAATGGTACCATTACACAATTATATATTATGGACAATAATATTATTAATTAATATATATAATAAATATAAAAAATAATCATAAATAATTAGTATCCTCTACTATTAAGAAGATTGTTTATAAGAAACAATCATATTTGCTCTACATATCTAGAAATATTTTTCTTCGTTTCATATTGAATAAATATCTCTTACTGAGCAAATAAAGTTAATTATTTAACAACCTTTTAAAATACAAAAAGTTATTAAATTTTATTAATAAACAATTAATTATTAATATGATACTGAAATTATCAGATATCTAACAATTCTTGAAATTTTTATAACAAATAAATTAGTATAAAAAAAATATTTTTTTTAATTTTTACATGTGAAATTTTTTCATTAAATTTTTTTCACTATAATTTAATTGTTATAAAAATCTTAAAAATTATTAGATGTCTGTTAAATTCATGAAAATTAAAGAAGCCGTCATCTCAAAAATTTTTATAATTTGTTTTATTGAAAAATTATTTAAAAAAAAAAATTAAAAGAAAAAATTTCACATACAGAAAATTTGAAAAATTACAATAAGTGCAATTTTTTAAAAATATTATTTCAGTCTTAATTTAATTAATAAAAAAAATCAAAAATTGTTTAATGTCAGCTAACTTTAATATAATTTAAATTCAGTATAATTTATTGAAATTGATTTTAAGCTTTTGGAAAATTCAATTAAACTTTAATAAAATAATTCTTAATCAAAGTAAATATTAATTTTAACAAAAAAACACAAACAATCAATAGTAAATGGTTGAAAAATGGCGACGAGTTTCTTCAACTCGTGGGATTCAAATTTTGAATTACCGCAATCTAATATAAAACTTCCACTTTATTCACCAGAATGGGCTGAAAATAAAGACAGTTTTTCTAGATTAAAACTTTCGTGCTTAGCAAGTTATAAACATCCTTGTTGTGAAAAATATTTAAATAGTATTGCGTCAGTCAGTAATGAAAGAAGAAGACAATGTCAATATTCTCATCCTTGGGTGATTCATCCTTTCAGCGCCACCCGGTATTTTTACATTATCTAATATATTTGTCACTTGAATTTTAATTGTTTTCAATAATACATTAATGCTATAACCACTTTAAAAAAATACACCATAGGTTTTACTGGGAGTCATTCATGACAGTTATTTATGCACTATCATTTATTATAATTCCATTTATGACCAGCTTCATAGTATTCGATTTTAAAGTTATTAGACTAGATAGAGTTAGTCCAATTTTTTATTTGTTTTTTTGGGTCGACATTTCCATGAATTTCATCACTGGCGTTCACGGAAGAGATAAAAAAATAATAATACTTGATCAAAGAGAAATAATTCAGTAAATTGACAATAACTATAAGAATTAATCTTCTAATAATTTTCGCATAAAAAAATAAAATAATTTTTCTACTTAGGAAGTACATCAGCGGATTTTTTTCTATTGACTTATTAACATCTTTGCCTTACGATCATATTACTTATTACTGGAGAAAACTTCCAGGACCAAAGTCATCATTTTTTGTAGCTCTCATAAATGTTTTGCCAATGTTGAAACTTATTCGATACGTGACTTTTGATAATAATGTTTCTCAATTATTTGAAGTAAGATGAAGAGTAAAAAAATGATACTGAAATTAAGAGACACATGACAAATTTTATAAAATTTTTAACAAATAAATTATGGCAAAAAAAATTTATTTCAAAAATTCTAGTTTTAGAAGCTCTAAAAAATGATAAGGTACTAGACCTACTTATTGACACTTGAAATTTTATTTTAATTAAATAAATCAAATCGACTCTAATAAATTTAATAATAAATATAATTTTTGAATTATAAATTTTAAGATAATTGGTTTTTTTAAAAACATTTTATTTTTTTAATTAGAATAAAACTGCAAGTGTCAATTAACTAGAATAGTGTTAACTTTTACCTTAAATGCAATTTTTTAGATCTAGTTTATTTTTACAAAAAATTATCAAGTGTCTTATAATTTCTATGTTATAAAAATATTAACATTTTTTTAAATTAATGTACTTTTTAAATGTATATTTAGTATTTTCAGATATCTGATTTTATATGTCGAATTAGTAAAATTTTATTAATATCAGTTTATTTGGTTTACTGGTTCACGTGTTTATGCTATTTGGTACCTGTACTCGTGGTTCATTTTGATCAAGTTTTTGTTAAGGTAAGAGTAAAATATATAAATAATGAATAATTACATAATGTGCTCATACAACTTTATTTTTTTAATACAGGATTGTGATTGCTGGCTAATTAATATTATTGATGATGACATTCCCGTACGCTTTAAGAGTTCATTTTTTATAATCCTTCAAAATTTTATGACCACCGGAATCCGTGCAATTGAACCTGAGTTTACTGTACATACCATAATTTGTACTTTGTTAATGATTTTAGGAAGATTTTTTTGGGTTTACATTATCGGTATTGTATTTATATATTTAATATTAATTTCTATTTTTTCAACTAAATTATACTATTGGAAAATTTTAGTGCTTTTTTTTCAAATATATAACGATAAAAATACGTCTCAATCTGGTTATCAAGAAACAATGAGCCAAATATTAGCGTACACAAGACAAAAACAGATGCCGCATTATATGAGAAAACGTATTGAGTCATATTATTCTTATCGATTCAAAAATAGTTACTTTAGAGAAAAAAAAATTTTATCTAATTTATCTGGTAATTATTTATTTATTTAATACAAAATTCATCTCTTAAATGTCACAAAATTTTTATTACTTCTTTTTTAAAAGTATTATAGCTAATATTAAAAGAATTCCCTAGGACCATTTATTATTGTTTATTTATTATTATTATTATTATTATTATTAAAATTTGATCTGAAAATGAATTAGATAAATAATTTTTTTTATAGAAATTTTACGTGAAGAAATAACAATTTATTCATGCCGTCGATTGATAGAAAATTTAATTCTTTTTCGTAATCTGCCTAAAGATGTTATTACATCAATTGTATCAAGATTAAAATTTGAGATTTACTTACCTAATGATTTAATTTTCAAGGCTGGTAATTATGGTGATTGCATGTTTTTTTTAAGTTCTGGAACAGTTGCATTATTTACTCCCACCGGAAAAGAAGTAATATATCATTGACTATTATTATTATGATTATTTTTTTTTGTAAATAAAAAATTAATTATCAAAATTTTGAAATAATTTCACAGATTTGTCATTTAACAGAAGTGTCTTATTTTGGTGAAGTATCGTTACTAGTAAAAGATCAACGTAGGATAGCAAGTGTAATTGCTATTGAAGTTTGCGAAGTTTACAGACTCGATCGTCGTGATTTTCGTAAATACGTTGCAATCCACAATGATTTGTTTCAACAAATTGAACGCATGGCTATGACAAGAATGGAAAAGGCTATTCTTATTGAAGAACAATACAAAAGAAATCCTCTTAAACGTAATCAACGGTCAATGTAATAATCAACGTATAGTTATAATTACACAGAAAATTATTATATTTAATCAATAACTATTTTATTTTAATAATTGTTAAAAATAAAAACATATTGATAGTCGTTAAATAAAACTTAGAATTGTATTTAATTTTACTTTAAAAATATTGCTATACTTAAATACATATATGAACGCCTACAGAGACCTCAAAAATTCCTCCTGTAATAAAAATGTAATTCTAAATTAAATATTCAATAATACTGATAAAAAAACTAAATTATTGATTTATTATACCTCTTGTTTTCTTCTTTAGCAGAAAGTTAAGTTGAATAAGCTAGCGGAAATCTATTAACGTTGGCTATATGCTTCTTTGGATTATTGAGTAATAAGTATTGCTTCAATTGCGGATGTGAAATTATTCTTTTAAATGAATTTGTGCTGACGAGTTCATATTGATACGGGAGATTTTCATTTTTTTCGACAAGTAACTTCATAGTCAATAGTTCTTGAGGCGTTATAATTTTTTTAGTTTCATCGTCATTAATAGATTGAAGATAAGGAAATTTCATCTCTTCTTTACAAACCTTGGCTTCATAATTATTGTTTAATGCATCTGTTGAGTCATGCATCTTAAACAAAAAATTATTTATAGATTTTAAAATGTACAGTTTCATATAAAAAATAATAATACTAAAGTTAGCCGACGTTTTTAATTATTAAATTAGAACTAAAAAATAGTTTTAAAAAATTTCACGGATTGTTTTTCAAGTTTTTTTACAAATGAAAATTTTTTTTTTATTTTTTTGTAATCACTTTTTCAGTAAAAAAAAATTCTAAAAATTTTTAGATGTCGACTAACTTAATTTTCATTAGAAAATAAATTAAAAATGATCAATAAAAAATTAGTGGATTAAAACTAACCTGACTAACAATTCTGAGAAGATCTGTATGCACATCTTGTCCAGATTTACGCACACAACGATAACTATATGATCCAGTATCAGGTTTACCAGAAAGAATCGATGAGGATAAGTTATATTGACCAGCCATTATTTTTTTAACACTAAATTATCTACTTGCTCTATAAGAATCAAGTCTTAATCAATACTAACGATGGCTCTAAGAATTCATTGTTTTTCCATTAGATCAATTAGTACTCTGGCAGGTCGTTATCGCTACTCTTTCATTGAAACACATTATATTAAGTATATAATTGAAACATAAAATTTTATCACTTAAAAGCTATTAATTAATCTCAAGGTAAAATAAATTCCGGGTGCCTATATAATACCACGTACATTGTACTTATTTAATATAGCATTAAATATTTTTGATTCACTAATAATGTCACTTCTATCATTTGATTATAATATAGAAAAAAATAATTTTAATAAATAAGTAGTTATTTATACTGAGGTATTTATTAAACTAAATTTCATTTATTTTACGTCTAAGTTTATCATTTCAACATTTATTTTTGTTTATAAATATTTGACAATATTTTTTTTAATTAACACACAGAAACCTTTTCTTTTTGTCAAATAAAAAAATAAAAATATGTAAATTATTATTAAATATTCATCACTTGACTTTTAACTTTTTACTCTGATTTTTTTTTTCATTTTAATAAAGACACTTGATGAATGAAGGATGTCAACAATTGAAAATTTTTTTTGAGCATCACAACAACATTAATAAATACACACAAATACAAATATATAAAACATAAAGACTATTCTACGATGCAAATTAAAAAAATAATTAATAACTTAAAGTACTTTTTGGTTTTCAGTGAATACTAATAAACTTCTAAGTTACTTTTTACTAACATTTAAAACTTACTTTCGCAGTAATTGTAACTTTATTAATGATTTCAATATAAAAATAATATATTTTTTGTTATCAGTCTTAAAATATAACCGACAACATGGCTTAAATATTTAGAAAACTTTTAATTGTCGGGTTTCTATATCGAGAGGGAATGAGTTTTGTAAGTAAGTTAATCACTTACACTAACATTTTTTTAAAATAAATAAAAATTTTTTTCTATAAATATCTACACACATACACACATTAACACGCAACAATAATTTTTATCCAGAAATATCAAGAAGTTCATTGTCTTGGTTATCAGCTTCCGTTAATCGACGAAGTAAACTACGACGACGAAAACGTAATTTTTTCCATCAAACAGATGCACGTTTAATGCGAAGGCTTGCAGTACTTGAGGGTGGCCGATAGCCTTGATAACCCGATGAGTCAAATAGCTCTGTATTTGTTGTACCAAGACACGTACACGAGCAAACACTCACACAATCATCTGTGTCATGAATCGGAATATGACCAGCTAAGATTTTACCATTTACTGCAACAACTTCACCATCGAGTGTCAGTACGTGGTGCGACGCTGCTTGTAATTCACTGTCGTCTCGACGAACGTCTTCAGCATTCCTAGAAAAATTTACAATAATTACTTTAAACTACTTACTCATATCTTAAGTAAATAACATGATAGATAAACTCTTATCTTACATTGTCATAAATCGCAAAACTAGCAAATTAATACTCGCAGCTACAACTGCTAATCCAAATAGAATAAATACCAAACTTAAAGCAACGTATCCTGGTTTTGTTGATAAAGCTTGATCGTTCTGCAAAATAATTTTAGTAAATTAATCATTTTTTAGTTTTGAAAAATATAATGACACTGAAGTTAGCTGTCAATTTTTTAAATTCTTATTAAAAATCAATTACAATAATAAAAATGCTTTTGAAAATTTCCACTAATAATTTTTTTTAATTTTTATATGTGGAATTTTTTTATTAAATTTTTAATCATAATAATTATATTGCTATAAAATTTTAAAAAAATTTCTAATCCCTGGTGAAAATTTTTCAGACTTTTCTCTCAAAAACTCTGGAGAAGTCTTTAGAACTTAAGATGAGTCTTTTTTCAGAGTTTTTCAGAGAAAAGTCCGAAAAATTTGTACACGGAATGTCTGTAAACTTCAATATCATAAAATTGAATATGATATATTTGAATCAATTTTTTAAATTCTTATTAAAAATCAATTACAATAATAAAAATGCTTTTGAAAATTTCCACTAATAATTTTTTTTAATTTTTACATGTGGAATTTAAATTTTTTATTAAATTTTTAATCATAATAATTATATTGCTATAAAATTCTAAAAAAATTTCTAATGTCTGTAAACTTCAATGTCATAAAATAAAATATGATATATTTGAATAAATCTACCTGTAGTGCAACATAATCACCAAATCCGATCGTCGTTAAAGTAACAAAGCAGTAATAGAAGCTATCAAAATAATTCCATCCTTCATATTTTGAAAAAACAGCAGCACCTGTTGTTATAATAATACTTGATAACATCCCAGTAGCAAGCATCAAATTCATTTCTGTAGCTTCTGTTCTGTTACAATTCATATACTTCTTAGCTCTTCTGATAATGACTGAAGCAAATTTATTCAGACGTTCACCAATACTCTGGAACATTACTAAACCCAGAGGAATTCCAACCATAGCATACGCCATGCAAAATGCTTTTCCCCAAACTGTTACTGGAGTCGAATGGCCATAACCTTTAATTTATAAATTTGATTTTAACATCCTTTCAATATATATATATATATATAATTATTTTAGTTAAAAGTAGATTAAAATTTTTATAATTACCAATCATTGCAAGTACAAGAGTTGCAAAATAAAATGCACCAGCAAATTTCCACTGAGGTCCAGCTTTGTGGGGTTTATTTTCAATAATAACAATTTCTACCATACGATAATCTTCTTGCGATATATTGTATTTCTTCATCATGTATCGCTTTATTTCTAAGAAGTATAATTGATGAAATAATTTTTTTTATAATTATACACATGATTACGTACCTGACAAAAATTCCCAACGTTTGCGTTCAGTGTCAGATTCAAGTGCATCAAAAACGGCAGCTCCAATTAATAAATAAGTAAAAGTACAGACGACTAAGGATAAAGTTCTAACATTTTGTCTCTTCATGGTAGCTGCAGATTCGTCGTACGCCATTTAATTTAATTTTATTTTTTATCGTTAATATTTTCTGTACAATATAACTCCTTGACAACCACCTTACCTTAAATATATATGTTGTCACTCCATTTAATTGTAATATATTAATTTTTTAATGTGATTATAAAATTGAAAAAATAAATTTTTCAATATTACAAATAACAATATAAAATAATTTGAGTTATTATTTTATTTTTTCAATATGAAAATACATTTCACAAAATAGCCCGCAAAAGTACTGACGATATTTAGTACCGAAACAATACGCCTGACCGAATTTATGCATTATATAATAAAAGTAAATAATAAAAGAACACTGTTTGAGCATAGACACGTAGGTTTGCTGATTTATAACTGACAGAAGTATATGGCGTAAGAAAAAATTCATCCGAGACGTGAGTTATTGATCGTCTCTCAGCTTCCCACCTAAATGAACCACTGAATAGAATAATATTCCACTTATCTAAATATAGGTCAACTCAAATGAGGTCCGTGTTTTTAAATCTCATTAAATATAAATTAATTTATATTAAAAAAAAACACAAACAGCTTTAAATTTAATTATTTAATTAACCTGTTGATTCTATTCTAAACTTATTGAATTCTTAATTAATATCACTACATTTTAAAATGTTACCGCGAAGTAATGGAACAAATGAATTTCTTATTTATCAACAGAGACATTTTAAATTATTTCACCCGCGAAATTTCTAGCCACGCCATATTGAATTTTGTTTATTGACATGTGCTTATTGTAACCTCTAAAAAATTATATCAATAATATAATATTTTTATTTTATTAAATATTAAAATAAAAATTTTAAATAAACAGACAAAATGACGGAGAACAATTGTTCATTACGAGCTATGAATTGTGAAATGAATTTATTGTCGATGCCTGATGGCTCTGCAATGTTTATGCAAGGTTAGTTTTATTTTTTATTTATGAAATGAGAATCAATTTAGCAGATATTCAATAATTTTTAGAATTTTTTTTAACAAATAAATTATTGCAAAAAAAAAAAAATGAGAACAAAAAATTGACATGTAGAAATTTTAAAAAATTATAAATGCAATTTTTTAAAAATAATTTTTCGGAGTAAATTTATTTATTAAAAAATTAGCAAATAACAGCTGAATTTAATGTCATATTTATGAATACACTGTTTAATTTATTTTTACTATTTATTAGGTAACACATGTGTAGTAGCTGGAGTTTATGGTCCAATTGAGGCAAAGTTACAAAAAATGATACACGATAAAGCAAGTATTGAAGTTGTTTTTACTCCAATTAAAGGACCGCCTAGTAAGTTTTTAATATTAGTTTTGTTTTTATTTTTTTTTTAATAATCAACAATTAATACTGATGTTTCGATCACTGTCTTTTAAGGTATCGATGGTAGAGCTAAGGAATTGTATATAAAAGATTCATGTGAATCTACATTAATTACGTCTCTCCATCCGAGCACACTAATTTCTATAAATATCCAAGAAATGCAGGATGATGGCGGGGTATGTATTATAATTTTATATAAATTAATTAACTGATTGTTAATTTATTCATGATGATTATTTTTTTTTTATTTAGCTCCTTGCTTGTGCTATCAATGCATCGTGTATCGCATTAATCAATTCGAATTTATCGATGAAATTTACCATAGCTGCTGTTCACTGTATGATTGATAAAGATTCCAAAGCAATAGTCATCGATCCAGATGAAGTGCAGCTTCAAGTAAGTTAACAATATTTCTCATGACTTCATAATTAAAAAATTGAATTTTATTTGATTAATATTTTCTATTGCAGAATGCAAAAGCCACATTTATGTTTGCTTTTGACAGTGTCAGAAAAGACATTATTTGTTGCAACGCAAATGGCCGATTTAATGAACAAGAATTACTGAAAGCTACGGATAAGTGTCGAGATGCGAGTAAACATATTTTTGATTTCTATCGTGACATTGTTAAAAAATACGCTTATGTAATATAACAATAAATAATATGTTTTGTTAATTTTTTTTTTATTTTTTTCTACGTTTCAGTTTTTTGGCCAGGAAATGTAGACTTTTGACGTCTCTTGCAATTTTCTCTTTTTTAATTTTGATATAAGTTTACTAATAATAGTAAAATAATAATAATACTAATAATAAAATAGTTGATAAATAAAAATTGAATAGTCTTCAAGTGGATCGAGTCTCTTGGGTTAAAAATAATAAATGCTCTTTCATAAGTAAAAAAAATTGATCTTAGAATAATAGTAATAATAATAATAATTAAAAACAACTTTTATGTTGGAATAGAAAATATGATGATATTGAAATTAAAAGATATTTGTCAATATTTTGGATTCTTGTAGCAACTAAATTATTATGGAAATTAATTTAGCAATTTTTTGAGAATTTTTTTAACAAATAAATTATGGCAAAAAAAATTATAAAAAAATATTGACATGTAGGTAGAAATTTTAATAAATTAAAAATTCAATTTTTTTAAAATAACTTTTTGAAGCAAATTTGTTAAAGAAAATTAAAAAGTTGTGAAGTGACAGCTTAATTTAATGTCATAAATTATTAATTATTATGAAAGAATTTTAATAAACGAATTCTACATCTAGAAATTAAGAAAAAATTGCAAATGCAAATTGTTTAAAAATATTTTTATTTATAATAAATTTTTAATAAAACTGAAAAAAGCTGTCAATGCCTATATACTGATTTCAGAGTATATATATCATGAAAATGTGAGAGTAGGGGGTATTTAAATATCAAGTTTAAGTCTCACCCGCACTATCCATGAAAATAGAAACACGTGCCTCGTTGTGAATACATAACCTAAAACTTAAACTAAATTACTATATATTTAGCAAAGCAATGGTTCATCATAATTTTTAAATAAGAAAAAATTGTTTAAATCATCGCCGACAATATTAAAAAACTATAATAATGGGATTAACAAAACAGTATTTGCGTTTTGCTCCTTCTGGAAATTTAAATATAATTTCAAGTTCAAAATGTAACGTAGTGTTTGTTACATTAGAAGGCAAGGATGGTAGATTTGTTGCTGCTGGTGCATGTGAAAATGTTGTTATTTGGGATTTTAACCTTCGAGAAAAGGTAAATATAATACTAAACATCTTAAATATTTAAAAAATTATTTTTTATCACAGTTCTTTTTTCTTTTTTCTTACAAATAGGCTCAAGTGTTGAGTGGAGATAAGGCTGAGGTTACTCAATTAGCAGCATCACCGAATAAGCGTCATATTGCTGTTGGTTATGCCGACGGTACAGTTAAAACTTTTGATTTACGTTCAGGAGAGAACATCAGTATTTTTGTGGGACATAAATCAGAAATTACCACGCTGGCTTATGATTCTTTAGGTCATCGCTTAGCTTCTGGTTCTAAGGTATTTAATATTTTCTTTTTAAATTATTGTAATGTAACCCAAGGATCAAGGATCATGAAAAAAGTCAATACTAAATTTTTAGTAATATAATCAGGATCACGGGTAATTGAAAAAATAATGTTAATAAATTTTTATTTCAACGCAACGTTTCGGAGTTTATTACTCTTTCCTTAGGCGTCATAAAGATTCAAGTATTACCTCTGTCAATAAACAATAAATGGTTTTTGGAGACAGAATGTCCAATTGTTGACATTCAACTGATAAGAGACGGTGTGTTTATAACTAATTTTTAACAATTTTTTAACAGAATATTGTAGACTATTATGGAAACGACATAGCAGCATTTATTATTTATTGACAGAGTTAATACATGAATCTTTATGACACATGAGGAAGGAGTAATAAACTCCGAAACATTGCGCTAAAATAAAAATTTAGTATTGACTTTTTTCATGATCCTTGATCCTCGGATTGCATTAATAACCCTTTAAAATTTTCTTTTTATTTGATGAGCAAAAGTAAATTCATATACAATTAAATGTAATAATTAATTTCTTTAATCCTAGGACACAGATATTATTGTTTGGGATGTTGTAGCAGAAACTGGAATCTGTCGTTTAGCAGGACACAAAGGAGTAGTTACTAAAGTATCATTCATGAAAGAAAATAATATTCTGATAAGTGCATCCAAAGATACTTTTGTTAAATTCTGGGATCTTGATACAGAGTACAATTTCCATACGCTCGTAGGACACAGGTCTGAAGTATGGGGATTTTGTCTGGTTAAAAATGATAAATACTTAGTAACCGGATGTAACGACACTGAATTACGTGTTTGGAAAATATTTAACGTTGAAAACAACGAAGATGATAATCCACTAAACATAAACTCGTTAAATATTAACGAAGAGGAAGCAATTGATGTTAATTATCCAATGAGATGTGAAAAAATTGGCAGTATCTTACGCGCTGGTCGCGGTCGCGTAATTTCACTAACTACTGATGCTACTAACGACATTATTGCTTGTCATGGAAATGGAAATAGCATAGAATTATTTTATATGATTCCTGAAGATCAAGTCACTAAAAAAACAACCAAGCGACTCAATAAAGAGAAGAAAAAAGCGCTCAATGCTGGCAAAGATGAAGCGAGTATTTGTTTGGAAGCTTCTTCAACTCTTCATGATGAAGTCAGACGACTTGTCACGATAAATGCTACAAGCAAAGTTAAATCAATTGACTTAATTTTGGGTGGCGGTGGTGAAGTTCGTGTGTGTGTTGGGCTCAATAAAAATTCTTTAGAACTGTATTCATTATCTGCCAATGATGAAAGGAAACTTAAAAATAAAAACGATGAGGAAAATAATGTTATGTTAAAATGCTCGATCTCGCTACAAGGACATCGCACTGATGTTCGGGCTGTTTGTTTCAGTTCAGACAATTCGGCTTTTGCAACTGCTAGTGGAGAATCTATTAAATTATGGGAGAGGTAATTTATCTTTTATCATTATTATTCACTTTTTTTCTTTAAATAATAATTTAAGCTAAATAATTGTATTTTTTTTTTTAGATCAACTTTGACTTGTGTAAAAACTGTTGGTTCTGGATATGTCTTAACGCTTACATTCGTACCTGGTGACAGACATATTATTGCTGGAATGAAGGATGGTAAAATTTTGATCATTGATATATCGAATGGTGATATTCTTGAAGAAATTCCGGCACATCAACAAGACTTATCGAGTGTCGCTTTATTTTCCAATTTGGTATTTATTAAAACTCATTACTTGATTTAAATATCTAATTCTTTTATTTATCTTGAGGAAAAAATTAAAAATAATTATAAAATTCTATTACAGAAAGGGATTGCCAGTGGCGGGCTTGATAAAACTGTTAAGTTTTGGAATTTTGAACTCATAGATGATACAATTAAAGAAACAAAATGCAAAGTATTGTCATTGATCCACTCGAATACCCTAAATTTAGAAGAAGGTGTACTCTGTGTAAAAATCACGCCCAATAGCAAGTATATAGCAGTTTCACTTTTAGATTCTACAGTTAAAATTTTTTATTTCGACACTCTCAAGGTAATTATATTTTGAACCAATATAAAATTGAATTGCTATGATATTTATTATAGCATTATTTTTATATTTTCAGTTTTTTATATCTTTGTATGGTCATAAATTACCGGTTCTTTGTATGGACATTTCTAGTGATTCAACGCTTATTGCAACTGGATCGATCATTTGTCGGAGCTTTTGGCTAAAATTCTTTCTGAACAACCGCAAAATGCTGTGGATTTTTTCGAGGAGTACAGCCGTCAATTGAAAGAGAAGAGAATCAAAAAATCTAGTATTCAAAAAGTATATGTTACACCGACTGAATTCGTTGAAACAACAAGAATTATTAAACTTTTCCAAGTATTTATAATTCTCAATTTATTAATTAGAATATTAGACACCTCGAGACGTTAACTGTTAGGGTACCTTACAGTGAAAAAAAATTAACTTGATTCAAAAAAGAAACTTTTTTAATTATTTTAAAGATATTCCTTCATTGTCTTGAACCGAACATTAATAAAAAAATGTAATAATTTTTTGGAGTCAATCTGTCTTATTTACGATACGATGTGAAGATTGTTCATAAACAAGTAGTGCCGTAACCTTTTTAAAATAAAGATACGACACACTAGTAATTTTCTCCGTAAAAGGAAACTTTGTAATTTATTGCAACCATTTTTTTATTATTTATTTTATTCTCACAGTTTTTTTTTATAAGAAAATTATCAGAGAAAAATTTTTATCCCAATTTTTTATTCAAGAGTCTAAACAAATATTCAATAACAATTTTATTAACTATAAATAATTATTTAAAAATAGTTAAAGTTGATTAGATATACAAAAATTCTTTTGTCAGTAAACAGAAAAGTTCTTGGATTAAAGAATTTTTCTTTTTAATTCATGATAATCTAAATCTTTAAATGATGTTTTTGGTTAAAGATTTATTTTTTTCTCCTAAATCAAGTTAAGTTTTTATCAGCGTACTATCAACCCATGAAGACAAGTAGATTTTTTTTTTTCAAGCTTGAAAGTCTTGAGACTAATTTCATGATGACATTTTTTTTTAATATTTACAGCCTACTACAGAAGAAGTTGAACATAAAATCAAAACTTATTATGAAAAATCAGTGATTCCAATTCCCAATTTAATAGAACTAGTTGACTATTTAGAACAATTTGACGTTGGGTTTCCCAAATCGGAATGCATTTTACTGAATCTCAGTATCCGGAAACTTGTTACCGAGAAAGAAATATTAAATGTTCGGTTAGTGTGAGAGATTATCCGTAACATTGTATACAAAACCAAATTGTTTGGAGTAAGTTAGTATTTAGATAAGAGTTAATCCCGTTAAATAATTTCTCCAGATTCTGGGGTAAGATTCTTGGAAGTCCGAAGAATTACTACGTCGTTGAGGCAGAACTTCGTGAGGAAGAGCTTTCCCGTCGACTTAGAGTATGATGTCAGAAGTATTTAGAGCACACAGAAGTCGAGTGCAAATTGTGTGTAACAGGGTTTTGTTTTTATTTCATAGGTTGAATCCGAAGAAAATTCAGAGATTGAAGAAGAAATAGGAACCGGTTTAAACGAGAAGGTATTAAAAATTTGCAAATTGATTGAATGTTAAATTTTTTCTGCAAAAGTTGAAGTTAACAAATTATGCAATCAGTGATTTATTATAAGCTCATATGTGTTCGCAAAAGTTTCTTTTAACAAATGGTTTGTTATGTGCATCAGGTTTACTTAGTGTGCAATTCTCCAGGATTAGATGACTGGATCGAATTGCCATCAGTCACGCCGAAACAAATTGTAGTAGCAAGACAAATCATCCGGTATTTCACGGGATGTCTCGAAACTACGGTGAAGCCTCATTAATCATAATTTAACACTCATTTTCTCTTTACTATATTGCTGAATTCGTGATTATTTAAACTAATCGGTAATTCAATATCCAGGTACAAACTTTCCCTCATTTTCCTGTAAATGAAGGGAATTATTTACGTGCCCAGATTGCAAGAATTACTGCAACCACACTTATTTCTCCAGTTGGATACTTTATTTTTAAAAGTTCAGACGATGAAGAAACAGGTTGGATTTTTGATACTTCAATATTTTATTTTAATAAGGTAGTACTGTTTGTATCAATTCAAAAATTTCTGTTTAAAATTTAATTAAATTCGGGATGTGTTCGTATATTATAGTAAGATTATGATTTCCATTAATTTTTGAGCAACTATCGAAAATCTTTTAAAAATTATTTAATTTAAAATTTTTTGCATCTAACATTGAATTTCATGTAAAATTATAATTTCATCATGTTTTGTAAAATGTTTCAGTAGTCAAACAAGACTATATGTAATTTATATATTAAACTATTGCATACTACACTGAGAAAAAAAAGTTCTTTTGAAAAAAATTAGCATTTTTGTAATGAGAAATTGAAAATTTTCAACTATTTTATTTCTTAGCTAAAGAAAATAAAATTTTTCTCACAGTAACTTTCTTGTTAAAAAATAGTTTTCTAGATTTAGGAAAAAACAATTTTAGATAAAAATTCGCAAGTTGTCTCTGTGTAAAAGAACAATTTATTAAGTGTTAATAAATTTATTCATTTGGAAACAATTTTTTGATTTATTAAATATAACTAATTATTTTTCGATTTTTATGGAGTTATAAAAAATGTGAAAGAGGAACTTTAATACTAACTTTTTTTCAAGGATCTAAATACATTTTTAATAATAGTTAATTAATATTTATTAACAGTTTTTAAATTATATTCAATAAACGATTTGTTAACTGTTAATATATCGCATTCAATAAATGATTTATTAACTTTTAATAAACATTTATTAATTCATCTGATATTAAAAAATCATTTATAAAGCTTATGAAATATTAACAAATTCTTCTATCAGTACAGTATCGACAGTACTACACACCCGAGAAAAAATATTTATATATAATTATATATATTTATATATAAATTGGTTATATATGATTATATATGAAAAATGGCCAAATATAATCATATCTAATTATATATAATCTTGCTTGGCTGTATATTGCTCTATATATAGTCATATATAATTATATATGATTATAAATAACCTCATATACAATTTCATATATAATCATGTATGATTATATATAATTATATATGTGATTCCATATATAATCATATATGATCATATACAATTATATATGATTATATAGAAACATTTTTTCTCGGGCACTTCAAAATAGGTTTTGAACTATATTTATTAATAATGTTTCAATTTTCAGGAAAATTAAGTATCAATCCCAATTACCATCCGTTATCTGTGAAAAACTTAACTGACCCGTCTTTGTCAAATTGGTGTCACCATAGTCGTTACATTTATGAAGATGGACAAACCACCAGCTGGGATTCATCTGAAGAAGAATCTGATGTAATTCAAACAATGAAAAATAGTGCTAAAAAGAGAAAGTGGTTTGTAATGGAAATTAAAAATGTTTTTGCTAAATCTGTTTAGGAAGACTCGAGTGAAGAAGAAGATGAGGATGAAGTAGGCCCGTCATTATTAACATCATTATCAAAAGACACTTTGTTAGGTGCAGTTCCAGCATGGACTTTAAGATTATCGTCTGAAATTCAGCTGGACACAGCTATTGCTACTGTCAGGTCAAATTTATGGCCCGGAGCTGTTGCATTTGCCAAGAGCGGGTACTAAAAAATTTTTTTATGCAAATAAGCAACTGTCTTTGTTACCATAATTCATTATTTACTGTGCAAATTATTTTAGGGTATGTGGTAATGTGTACATTGGATCGGGTCATAAATATGACATTTGTGATTATCGTCCACCAGAAACGCCACTTGTAGAAAATCAATATAAAATAGGCTCGGAGAAAGAAGATCGTACTTTGGAAGAAGAAATTGATAATCATGAACTTCAATTACTAGAAAATTTTGAATCAGGTTAATCAAATAAAATTAATGAAATTATTATGGAATTAGTTTTAGATTTTAATATTTTTATTTCAGATCAAATTTCACATGAAAACAAAGCTGGAGAAGATAATGGAAATCCTAAGAAGAATGATGAAAAAGAGAACAAAACTGATGATAAAGAGACTGATGATTATGATGAAGATGATGATGATGATGAATCTGATGAAACTGATGATGAAGAAAGTTATTGAGAAATGTTTGTGATTTTTCATTTTTAGTTGTATATCAAATTTCATAAAATTTTTGATAAAAATTGGTTTTATGAAATTTTAATTTTAGCCGCATGCTAAAAAATTTATTTTTATAATTTTTACAACTAGTAATTAAAATTTTTAGACATCCCTTCGAATAAGTTGAAAATTCTTCGTAAAAATACCATCAGTCAGTAATATTAACTAGAGAGCGCTAGCTATCAGGCATGTTGAGAACACATTCAAATAAAAATTTTAATTTAAATAAATATAGTATCCCAAGCGGCACAAATTTTTTTTTGTTAATGTGTTATTGAATTTAAGTTAACGATTATTAATTTTTTAACTTCTTGTTAAATGAAATCTACCAAAAAGTAAACATTTTTTTTTTTGTAACTCTTGGGATAGTATAGTAAGGAGAAGAGAAATGAAAATATTGTCAGTCTTAGTTGACCGCAACTCACTAAATTAACTTCAATTCTATCATGAATTTTATACTGTAGGAATATAATTACAAATTTAATTATTTACTTAGTCTTTTTGCAATATTAATAATTCAATAATTGTTGGACAAAAATTGCTTAAAAAGTATTAATTTATTATTAATAATTAAAGTTGTTACCTAATCAATCGCCACTTAAATTAATATCATATCATAGATCAATTGTTATAATTTATTTCTACGATGAAACATAGGAAAAATTTTGAAATAAGTATGATTATATTTTAATTAAAAATATACCATTTTTTAATCATGATTATTTATTTAAATGATTACTCTACATTGTACCATGCATTAGTATTATTTAAATTATATTGTGATATTATACGTCGACCTTAAATATATTTCGCGGATTTATGAACGAGCGAGTCCAAGCGTAATACTTGATCATTTTGCTAATTAAAGATATATGAATAATTAAATAGGTATATCAAATAAATAACGATAAAAAATAAATTTGTAAACAATATCAATACCTCATACATGAATTAAAAATTGATTGTATAATTAAAAAAAAATAATTTATTATGCACACGTTAGATCCTACAGATGTAAATCGATACAAGTGAGATCAAATTAATTACTGAAGTGTATGTGTGTATGTATTAGTGGTACTGCTTGAAATAGTTCATTTATTTGTTATGAAAAAAAAAAAAAAATAAAAAAAAATTGCAGTTTCTATTTCATTAATTATGTTTCTAATCTCACGTAACGATAAACTATTAACCGATTTTTAATATACAAAGTAAATTCATCACTAAAAAAAAAAAACACTGAGTCTTCTTCTTCGCTGTTCCCCTACTGCCTCTGCTGCTGCTGCTGCTGCTGCTGTTGACAGAAATCTGTATCCCTCGCGCTTTGCTCTCAATTCAATAACTAAAGATGTACATACAAGTTGTCAATTGATAAGTTCACTTCCGATTCCGATTCCAAGCCGTCGAATGTCCTTCACTGCTCCTCCATGGTTGTCAGATCCTCTCAATTGGCTTCAAATTAACGTCAGGAAAACTTCCAGAATACTGAGGACACTAGGAAAATTGATCGTGGCTCAATTCCTCGAAGAATGCTGGTGTAAATACTATTAGAAATATATATATATATATAGACAGATATATGTATATATGATTTGATATTGATGTTTAATCTTGAAATTAACACGGTGAATAGCGTCGTCTTGTCGGTCGTGTCCGCAATAATATTATTCACAATTATTATAAATATCTATTTATGTATATGTACATAAATTTACGTAAATAATTACAATCGAAATGAAGCAGTAGTTTGGAAAAAAAAACTTTTAAAGGTTTTATCCGTCATTCATACTGCATTAGACTCTTCTTGAAGCATCTTGGTATTTTTCATTCATAAAAAATTTTATTCAACGCACTCAAAGATCTTTTACGTATCACGTAACGTCTTGTGTATGAGTATATTGATAAAAGTTGAGCCAAATATCCCCAGAAAACAGTCCCGAGGGTTTAAGCTCATGTCAAGATGAAAATTTGATCGAAATGCTTGGCCACTAAAGGCCTCATTATATGTATAAAAAAATTATATACATACATTTATATAAATATATACATTATATATAGTTTTTGTTACTTATATATAATATATATATATATAACATTCATTAAAATTTATACACAGTTAATCAAATGTACATATGTACATGCCGCGATAAAGCACGAAGTTTTCTCCTATTACGAGCAAGTGGTTCTTTTTTTTTTTCGGTTTTTTTTTTTTTTTTTTTAAATAATTTTGTTTTGTTTTAACGAGAGGGATAACGAATTTTGTTGGTTCATTTTTTTACCAACCACCTAAACTACTACTGCTCGCCTTGCAATCAAGAAGCTGTCGCTCGGAATCGGCATAATTAAGACCAAAATCACTGACAAATTCATAAAACTTGTCCAAAGATTGAAACGCCAATTCCGTAATGATGAAATCAACAGCCAAATTTTGCCGATAGCTAAACAGCAGAAAAATAAATCCATTAGATACAGTTTAATTATAATATATTAAGTAATTAGAAAAAAGAATTATAAGAATGTTTATGAATAATTTCATAAATTATTCATAAGTTTTTTTTTTTAACTCTTCTGTAACGATGGCCTGAAACATAAATCTTGGATTTGTTAGACATATAAACGAGGATAATAGGGATGAGTATATTCTGCTTAAACGATTATCAATCGATGACTACTCTGGAAATGAAATGTAAATGAAGAGAAAAATAAAGTACATGAAATAATAAATGAAATGAAAGTTATACAAAGTAAATGATAAATAAAATCATCTAACCAATATTTTTTGTAATAAAAAAAATTGGAAAGAAATGGACGAATAAAATAATATACATACGACTTAATCATGGTCTTCAGAGCGTTTTTACGCTCACGAGCAATGAACCAATCCATAAGGAATGCCGCCATACGCGGAGCAGTTTTATATAGTTTGAAGAAAACATGAAAATTACCCAGCCACCATGCAGAACGTACTTTAAGTGCGTGTTTAATACACTCATCTTTCTTATCATCTTTTGTCAGTGCAGCCAATATCGTAGTCAAGTCTAAAAATTAAAAAATAATTAACAACCATTCAACTAAAGATCATATAACGACGTTTTAATTAGCAAATTATCAAACTCCTTTTCAGAGAATCTTTCATTTGTATGAAAAAAAAAATTAGTTCAAAATTTATTATCACTTTAAAAAACCATTTAATATCATTAATATCTAATAGAGGTATAATATTTTGGTTTGGACCATTCAAATTATTTATAATTGGATTATTGCTACATCAAAATGTTAAAAAATCACTCTCTAAAAAAATAAGGAGTTAGACCAATTGCTAATCAGACTGTCGATAAGCAAAAAATTACTGTAATAAAAAAATTACCCTGCGTATTTTTGGTAAATATGTAGTAGAGAATACGATAAGCTACAAATTCACACCGATTATCACCACCAACATCTTGGTACAGCATTCTTAACTGCGTCTGGCATTGATTAAACTCTTCATGATCTCCTCGCTCAAGTGCAACGCGGGCGTGAGTCTCATAAACGTGAACTGTAAAGGAGTCTCTGATTCCTTGTACAGTCAAATCTTGACGTATGGACTTGAGTTGGTCACAGGCGTATCTGTAGTCTTGCTCAGACACCCAGCGTTTTTTCACATGAGCCAGAGAAGACTGAAGAACACTTACCGGTCGTACTGCCGATGGAGCTGGAGCCTAAATAAAATAATAATAATAATAATAATAATAATAATAAATAATTTTAAATCTAAAAATAAAGTTATAATAAATATCGACGTTCTAATTAGCAAATTATCTAACTACATTTTAGAGAATCTTTCATTTGTACGAAAAAACAATTAGTTCAAAATTTATTATCACTTTAAAACATCATTCAATATCTAATAGAGGTATAATGTTTTGGTTTAGATCATTTAAATAATTTATAATTGGACTCTTATTACATCAAAATGTTAAAAAATCACCCGCTAAAAAATAAGGGAGTAGACCAATTGCTAGTTAGATCGTCGATATGTGATAAAATAACTTACAGAGGTAAGACGCAGATAAGGTTTCTCAAGATCTTTGCATGTACCAATGATATGTAATCCTGTGAAATCAAAGTCTGCTGTGTCATCTTTAACAACAACGGTCCTGCTAACAGAATCATGAAAACGAGCTGCTCGTTGCTGTAGTTTTTCCTTTGATCCTAATTCCTCAGCATTGCCTGTAGCTAAACCAAATTCAGAATAGAAATGTGACTTAGGTTGTTTATTCTTCTTAGATTTTTTCACGTTATGATTATCCTTGTTGCGATTATTAGTTTTTTTAGAGGATTTTGAAGAAGACGACGATTTGTAATCATGACTACCACCACGATCACTGGTACTCGAGGATGACGAACTGCTACGTCGGTATTTACGTGACGGTGGGCTAATACTACGGGAACGCGACCTTGATTTAGATTTTGATCGCGTGCGTGACTTGGATCTTCGATGCCCTGATGATGATAGACGCGCCCCTAGACGTGCACCAAGTGACGTCGAGAGACCGCCTGGCCTACGTAAATTATTACTCATTGTAATAGTCAATGAGTTATTAGATGCTTTTACAATTGGGCTTTTGGCCTTAATCGTCATTGTCATACGCTCGCTGTGGATACTTGGTAGTGGTTCTATGTCCCAATCCTTAATCCAAAGCGAACCGTCATTTGCCGCGCGTGTTATTTTACCCTTTAAAATGATCTCAACCTGATCCTTGTCTACAGCCGTTTTACATTTTTCATAACAGCGATTAACATAATTCTTTAAACTATCGGGCCAATCACCCCCAGGACTGGGATTTGACGCCGTTACCGGAGCTGCTTTGGTAGTAGTGTTGCTGTTGATAGAGGATTTGATGCTACCTACCGTGGATTTTTTCGAATTCATTTGAGAAAGTTGTACGTTCGTCGGTGAAGACGAAGAGACAATTGGAGCTGGAACTACCGGAACATCGGGGGTCTTTATCGCTGGTGGGGCTGATTTTGGAAGTGGCGCGATAACTTCGCTGGGAGGCAACGGAGGTAAACTGTCGGGTTTTATATCTGTTCCCGGAGTAAAAGTCGTAACTACGTTATTTCCCTGAAATGAGTTGTTGTTCATCTGAGAAGCTGTTACGTATTTATTCTTTCGTCTCTTCTTCTTGGCTGCTCCGCTGTTACCAGATGGTACTGAACCTAGACCAGCTTTTTTGTTTGGCGAGTTGAATCTTATCGGCTGTTGTCCATTATTGAATTCTATTCATTAAAATCAATAATTAATACACAAAAATTTTAATCTGATAAATAATTTAACCCTCGGAGTACACTGGGGGTCATTTTGACCCCAGAATTTTTTTTTTATCCTAAAATATTCCTCAAAAATAGGTTCGTTTTTAATTAATTTTTTCAATATTAAAAACTATTTAATTCAGAATAATAATAATTGTATTCAAAAGAGAATTGTTTTACCTATACGAAAAAAGTAAACTGTAATAAATTATAGTCGATTTATAATAAGTAATGATCAACTGGAAAAAATTACCATTTCAAACAGTAAAATCGAGATATTAACAATCACTTTATAATATTTATCATTTAAATGCTACAATTTATTATTTACATGGAAGAACATACTATTTCAAACAGTAATATTCGCTATGTGAATGTCGAAAATGTTCAAGTATAATAATTAAGAATTTTGACTTTGATATTTATCATTTCGTACCTAAAAAATGATCGCATGATATGTAAAAAATCTAAACTACAGTTACTAAATTTCTATACAAGCAACGTCAATATTCACAAAGTAAAATGGTAAATTTTACAAGCAACGCTAAAAGTCAAACTATAATTATTGATTTTAAGAGTAGAATTTTTACTGTTTCAAATGTTAAATTCTCCGAGTGTAAAATCTTCCCTTTTTTTTTTACTGTTGGCAATTTTTACTGTTTGAAACAGTAATTTGTTAAGATGAGAGAGTCGTTATTTACTATAGTAACAGCTACTAATCACATTTTCGATATTAAATCATAAATTGTGGCTTTTACACTTTCTACATTAAGTTTTGTAATATTTACATTTGTGCCATTAGTATTCCGATGTCCGCTGTACTATTTGAAAATATAAAAATTAACCGGAATCCAATTGAATTTTAGTTTACTTTTTTCCATGTACCAAAAATGTAATAACCTGAATTCCGATAAAATGCATAGTTTCTGATATAATTCTTCGAAAGTCAAGTGGGGTTAATTTGACGCCGTGTGTACTCTAAAGTTCGGTTCGGAGGATTAAAAATATAATACTTACGTGACATGTCATTTTGATCAGTCCATCCTCCATAATTTGCTTGGTAATACATAAACATCTGTTGCTGATTCTGTAATGGAGTCTGAGGTTGATTATTATGCTGAGGTGGTGGTTGAGTAGGAGGTGGCGGTCCTGGAGGCAAAGGAGGGAGATCTGCATCATCATCTAGAACCATTGGCTGGATAGGCTGCTGCGACTGCTGCTGCTGCTGTTGCTGTACTTGAGACTTGTTGCTCTGGTTGTTCTGAACGCTCTGCTGCTGTTGAGGCTGCTGCTGCTGCTGCTGCTGCTGTTGAGGGGGAATCTGTTGACCATTAAAAGCTGATCCGTATGCTGTCATCATTCCTGGAGGGTAGTAATACATTTGTCCTTGAGGGTTGTAACCTTGCGGATACATCTGACTGTTAATAAAAAAAAAAAAAAAATGTTAAAACCTCGTCATAATTTTTAGAGTAAAAATAAACTTACTTGGGAAAACCTTGATACTGGTGCATGTTTGCTGGTTGTGGATATTGCCAAACCATGTTTGCCATCGGGTTGGGATTAAACTGCTGATTAAAGTGCTGCTGCTGCTGCTGCTGCTGTGACTGCTGCTTTTGTTGGGATGCAACAACCTCGCTTTCCGACATGCCTGATCAAGGTGTTTCAGACCAACTGAAACCCACTCGTAGACCTACTGGTTGTAATCAAACGTGTGTGAATATGTTTCCTATAATTATATTCTTACTCTATCTTCTTAATTAACTACACATTTAAAAAAAATATATATATATAATATTTAATTTGATAATTATACAAATTATTATTTTTATGTTTAAATTAATTGAACCATTAACACGGAACAACACAGTTAAATAAATAACGATTAATTAACACACAAATATGGCTGCGAAAAATATGTAACATTGCGCTCCGAAATAGTCTTCGTTCTTCCTTTCACTTACAACATGCATTACTTGCAAACGCTCAAGACGAATGACCCTTTATGATGTTTCTCCTCTTTGTGCCAATTACTCAATAGAATTATCCAGTGTCGCCGATAGAGTGACCAAAAAAATTAACTTTACTCAACCGGTAAGGTAAATTGGCGGGATTTAATCCAATCATTGTTTTCATTGTTGACATTTACTTGTACACTGTAGTTTACTGTTTTCTTTTTTTTGTTATTAGTTAATTAATTTTTTTCTGTTAATCTTAAATATTAAATGAAAGCACAGATTTGTACTCGTTAAATATTAAATAAATAATTTTTATTATTTTTTATTTTATTAAAATTTTCCATTTTAATAGGTTATAAAATTAATTTTATAAACAATGTCTGATGCTAAATTAATTAAAAATATACAAAGTACATTTTCAATGTATGGTTTTGTTATCACAAGGTATGTAAATAATTTCAATATAATTTAAGACACAATTTAAATGATAAATAATTAATGACATTTAAGTTAGCAGTCACTTAACCATTTAAAAAAAATTTTTTAACACCAAATTTGTTCAAAAAAATTATTTTTAAAAAATTGCATTTTCAATTTTTTTTAATTTCTACATGTCAAATATTTTTTTTTTTTGCTGTAATTTATTTGTTAAAAAAATTTTTTAAATTAACAAATATTTGCTAGATTAATTTACATAAATAATTAATCTAATGTTTTTTTAGGGAAGTAAGTACTTATGTAGCTAGACAATTAAAATCTATTAATGCTGATGAACGAGAAGAATGGCTGATAAGAATAACAGATCAATTGTCAAATTTAAATTTGGAATCACCACATATTACATTGAACCATGTTGTAGATGCAATAAAAGAGTGCTTGAGGCCTCAAGATTCTCTGCAGGATTCAGAAACAATTTTCAATGTAATAAATACTACAGAAATTCCTAAAGTTGTTTATGATATTGAAAAAAAGAAATTTGTATTACAAAAAGTATTATCCGAGTTATTTGGTGATGCTAATAGTAAGTCAAGTATTTTTCGCGATCGTCTCGAGTTACTGAAACAAGTAACACTTAAGCAGGAGCCATTTGCTCCAAGGAAATTGGGTGAAGTCGATGTTGAAAAATATGAACTGACTCCCATTGAATATTTATTGAGTAACTGCAGTAAGCCTGGAGAAGTTTATGTTATGGGTGTATTATCACAGCTTACTGAAGGGCAGTTTTATTTGGAAGATAGCGATGGATCTGTTAAACTTACTCTCAAGAAAACAATATCCTTTTATAAATACTTTTTTTTTTTTTATTTAAAAATTTATAATTAATGAAATTAGTTTGCCTGAATAATTAAATGAAATAATTTTCCTTAATTTAAAAACAAACTTTTGCATCAGGTTTAATCGCAGAAGGATGTGTAGTACTAGCAAGAGGAATTTATGAAGATGGTTTTTTAATTGTACGAGAAATGGGTTTACCACCAGCAGAATTAACAACAGAGTCACGAGTGTCATTTGGAGCTGACAATACGTTTGGCGGTCCTCATAAAACTTCTTTAAAATTGTCCGAAAAATTAAAAATATTCGAACAATCTCACAGTATGAATATGATTGTATTTTTATCAGATGTATGGCTAGACAGTACCGAAGTTGTTGATAAATTGCGTGTGATAATGGAAGGTTACTCAGAGGACCCACCTGTGGCATTTGTACTCTGCGGGCATTTTTTGTCATCACCACCGAGTTACTCGAGCGCACAAAAATTAAAAGAAGGATTTAGAAATTTGTCTCAAATGATAAAGCAATATCCAGATATTCATAAATACTCGAAATTTGTTTTTGTACCGGGACCACTAGACTTGGGTGCTCCTAAAATTTTACCACGAGGTCCATTGCCTAAAACACTTCTTGCTGATTTTATCAAAGCAGTACCTAATACTATTTTAGCCACTAATCCATGTAGAATACAATATTGTACTAAAGAAATAGTGGTACTGCGCGAAGATATTCTAACTAAATTTTGTCGACACACATTCCGTTATCCAGAGACTGGCCAAGTTTGGGATCATGTAAGTAATTGATCACCGAGATTTGAATCATAAATTAATTACATTAAACGATTTTTTAAATTTAATTGATAGAAATCAATTTAATTTAATTTAAATTAAATTTAAGTCTGCATACATACAATTAAATTACTTTTATTTCAGTACGCAAGATCAATTATTTGTCAGTCACACTTGGCCCCAATGAGTTTACCAGTGGTACCAGTATACTGGAAGTATGATCATACATTACAATTATATCCGTCACCAGATCTCATTGTTGCAGCTGATCAATTCCAAGCATACTCTACCAGTTATATGAATTGTAAAGTAATTAATCCTGGTACATTTTTACGTAATAACTTTTCATTCAAGGTTTATAAACCTGGTAATGATGAAGTTGAAGAATGTGAAGTACCAGCAGACGACGATGTATAAATTTACACTCTTTTAATAAATATATTTTTAATAATGAATAAATTATAGTTTTATAGCCTCTTTAAAATTTATTTATTTTTTTCTGTAATAAAATCTACTGTTTATAGATTTACAATACTTTGGGAGACATTGTTCGTTTTTTTTTTTTTTTTTTTTATTAATTAATTAATAACAATAGCGAGCTTAAATTAATAGTATTTGTTTTTTTATTAAATTACGGAAAAAATTAAAAAATAAGTTAAATAATTATCAGATACTGAGTCATTTTAAATCGCTGATACAATTAAATACAAGATAATAGTAACATTAAAATTATTTATAATTGCAATAATAGTCACAATTGATACTGAGGTAATCGATTGTACCGCTTTATATAAATGATAAAAAAAATTAATATCCTCGGGTAAATATGTAGATAATACATAAAAAAAAAAACAATCCTGATAACAATTACTCAATTTAACTTATTTAAATCTAAATTTCGTAGATGACTTACTGTTAAAAATGAATCAACAATTGATATTGTTGGAAAAATTCATAAGCTTTGAAGAAAAATATCGTAATTCATCTCTCTATTTTAAAATTTTTTTTTTACAAACTATCTTACTTATATTTTAATATTTTTATATAAATCTCAATTTACATATTAATATTGAAACTATAAAATATCTAAATTTAATTAATTAATTAACTAACTAGAGAATTTAAATAATTTAAATTATAAAGCCATTAATAAAACTAATGGCGAATATTTAAAATATTATTTATAAGACTGGTCTAATGAAGTTAATACAAATTTATTTATTCTATCTAATAATTATTATCAGCAGGATCAGTTAAGACAGTGATGAAAGACTAAGTATTGCGTTGAACAAGAAAAAAATTAAAAAGTAGAGACAACAAAGAGAAAAAAGAAAACATAAACTTATAAATAGATAAAATTCAATGGATGTATTGTTGAATACTAAAATAGAGAAAAAAAAATTAACATAAGAGTTCATTGCACTTTTTTGATTCAACATAAACACTGAATTAAATGTTAACGTGTGACTAAACATCACTCAATTCCTGCACATTATTATACATCAGTATATAATATACATTTATTTTTTAATTGATAATACTTGTGATGTATTTAATCGCGTTTTTTTTCTTTACAATATTTTTTAATAATTATATTTATGAGTGGAAGAGTGGGTTCCTAGTTTCAAAAAATCACATTAACTCAGTTATAAAAAAATTAATTAATTACAAGCGGCATCACATATTTCAAGTAAAGTAAAATTAACTTAAAGGATTTCGTTTATCTTTTTCTTTCTCATATTTCTGACAAGCTCTAGATCGTTCCGCGGCATCAAAGTACCAAAGCGTAATTGCGTATCTAGTTTTATACGCCGGCTGAACTTCATGTGGATTTCTTCTATCTGACCAGAAGAAGATAATTCTATCAAAAAGAGGCTCAATATTTGCTACTTGATCTTTCCAACCTTCCGGAAATATTCTCAGCAATCCTCCATTTTCCTAAAATATTAAAAATAAAATAAATAAAATTGCAATGCACCGCAAAATTTAATATAACATTCCTTAGTGGTATTAATAAAAGCCGACGCATCGATACTCAACCGACAATACAATACATTGAATAAAAATATAAATAGTAACGATAGTCTGCACGTGGAGAGACATCTAAATTGTCGTTGGACGCTATTCTACAATTTTAATTACACTATTTCTGTGTTTGTTTCATTGTATCTCAAACGTGATGATACGAATAATTTATTTATTGATACAACTGCTGCTAAACTAATTATTGTTATCATTTTTATTATTAATCATCTTACAATCATTACTTTACAACGCATTAAATTAGTTTACTGTCTACTTAATGTAATGATTATTGCTGAATAATATTTACAATGATAACTAGTTTACTAAACTATTAGAATTTTCAGTAAGATAAAAAGATATCGAGTGAATTACTTATTCAGATAAGTAAAAAAAAAAAATTCTACGTAATGTTTTTAATAATTATCTTAATCTCTAGGTAAATTATTTTTTTTAATTTTGTTTAACTTTTCAATTAGATTATTTTATCGACAAATAAATTAATGCGTCCTTGACCAAAATATCGCCGAGTAAATACATTTATAATTACTAATACAAATATTCATTTTTGTTTCCGTATTTTTTTTTTAGAAAGAGATTTCATTTATTAATACTAATAATTATTACTCTTTATTATAAAAATTAAATTTATACTTCATTTTTCAAAGTAAAAATTTTTGTTTAAAAAAAATAATTAAATTTTTTTTTTATCATCAAAATAAAAAGAATAAACTTACAACAGTATTCCAATTAATATTGAGGTAATAAATAGCAGTTATGCATCTGCCGTCACTATTTGGATTGTCTACATGCTTAACATAATGAGAACCGTCTCCAGGATAACAAGCTAGCATGGCCTGAAAAATAAATACATAATTAATAAGCAGACACATAAAATATTTATTATCAGTATAAATAAATTAAATAATCATATTTGTTCCAATTAAATAGTTGAACAAAATGAGGAAAGTAGTAAACAATTCACAGAATCGTCATTTGATTTTTATCAACACTAATGTTTACAGGAAGACTTCATAGAATAGAAAATATTATTACGAATACTAATAATAACAATAGTAATACATGTAGTTTTATTACTCAGATATCAAAAGAACAAAAGATTATTTTTTTTTTTTCAATGTTATTTGAAGCAGCCTATTAAATATTTCACAATAGATTATAGAAAAAAAATTCTGTTTTTTATTTTTTATCATTAATTTAACATAAGTGTTATATTTATTGAAGTAAAAGAAAAACAGAATATGGAAGTGTTGCGCTGAAAGTAGATGTTTCCTAAAACATTGCTTTGGTCACGTAGACCATTTTTGATACACCTTTCCCTTATGTTACATACGTGCATCCAATACAGAACGAGTCATCACCCCAGCTGAGCAAAAGACCATTAAAAAACACGAACAGCTAGTAACTAATAACATAATTTTACCTTATAAAATTACTATCAAGTCAATATTTGAGTATATATATATAGGTGTGAACTACAATTTTTTGTAGATCAATACTATTATAAACGCGTCATTGAAATACATTAACCTTTTTTTAAATTCTTCCTTCTAAAATAGTTAAATTCAATCGAGTAAGTATTTTATGCCAAGTACATAAAGGTTCGCTTGAATATTTAAATTCAAGGTTTTACCACCACTTCAATAACCTTCGCCCAATTTTTACTCAGACCTTGAGTAAGTACGGCTTGGTAGAAAAATTACATACTCCATTTAAAATAAATATTTTTGTTATTACTTTTTTAAATTTGAATTTTGTAAAGAATAATTAAATTTAATGTATTTGTAATATTATATTCAATATAAATAAATAAAAATAATATCACGTAAAAATATTTCAATGAAGCTATATACATTTATAAATAGCATAAAGCGTATTATTTATTTTGAGTGCAAACCAAAAAACTAAAAGTCTAGAGGATAACATTATCAATGTAAACACATGTTAGTATACATGATAAATTGGCCACCGTCAAGTCAGTTAGCTGGTGTATACTCTAGTATTTAAATTCTTACATTAATTCTTGATAAGTTAAGTATTTCATAAAATTATAATTTTTAGTTATTAAAAACGCCCTGGCTCAGAGGGGCGATGCCATCGATTACTGCTGCTTCCATTTAAATTAAGTAGTTGAAGATTAAAATTTTAGTATGTTTTTTATTTTTTTAAATCATTCAACTGTTGAAGTAAAAAATTTTATATCCTCATCAGTGATTTTAATGAAATAAAAGTAAAAAATTCTGATCTTGATATTTTTTTAATTCAAGTGAAAAAGTCTTGATTATTGTAAAGAAAATTTAATGAGTAACGAGATAGCAGAGAAAAAAGTACTTGTAACTATCTCAACTATTATCTAAATTAAAAAAATATACAAGTGATATCAATCGTACCATCAGCGATATTTATTTATTATAACTTTATTGTTAAACGAATAATAATGACCAGAGGGCGTTTGAAGGTCATTTACAAATTATATTTTATTATTATTGAAATTAATTAAATTTGTCTTTAAAAATTTAATGAGTTTTTCAGGTACTTAATAGTATTAATTTATTTCTTTGAAAATAACCGATGAGGTAACAATTTATTAAAACATTGTTTATTTACCAACTTATTAAAGCAATAATGCAATTTTATAAAATACTAACAAAGTATGAACGTTGTTATAAATTTTAATGGAATAAAACTCTTACAAATTCGATAAGAATATAAATTTTCGCAAATTTTCTCGAGGTCAATTTAATTATAGCAATGACGTGTACAAGTGAAAAAATTTTCTGTAGACGATATTTTAAAAGTAAAAAAAGATAAATAATTATTATTTATTTTTTTTTTTTTTTTCCAATAACGCGTGCTTGTATCTATAAAGAATGACAAAGAAAAAAATAACTGAGGAGTTTGTAAAACATTTTAAAATTCTTCATTGACTCCTATCCGGCATCTCTTTAGTCTCATTACAATTTCACCTTGCAGAAGGTTACGTGACGTTGAGGAAAAAAGAGAAAGACGAAAAAAAGATTTGAACTCGATAAAATGTAATGATAAATTGAGTGTTCGAGTGCTTATTATTAGTTGGTTAAAATCTTTTAATCTTCAATATAGGTGTTACATATCACGCTAAGGTGCACGCGGGTGGCTTCTAATAACGAAAAGAAAGACCGAGAGAAGGGGGTTGTGGCGTACGTGACCGATTCTACTGTTATATATAATTGTCTTTTAAAGTGAACCACATATTTGCAATGTTCAATCACTCAAAAAGACATGTTTATCATCGTGAGCCAGCTTATCGAACTTAGAGTATTAAATTTTAATTACTCAAAATAATTAGTCGACGGTAGACTGCCGAGTCTAAAGACGGAAAAAATTTTGTGTTAAATGAATCCAAGAAAAGTTATTCATAACTCTAGGTCTTCCTGTTTGTTCAGATATAATGACCGCAGTCTGACTTTGCTTTGTCTTATTGCAATTTAGTAATTGTTTACTTTCTAAGTAATTGGAAGGAAAAATATCAAAATTTAACCTTCAACAATCATCAACCATAAAACATTGAAGATTTTTACCAAACTCATTAAACATTTCTATGATAAAATATTATTTTACTGAGTATTTATTTATATCGCAATTCCGATGGTATTCCAAAACTTGGTCAATGAAATAAATTAAAATTCTTAAAATAGATATTAGTCGTGCTATATTTACAACTGATTGTATTTAGTGATTTAAAAAATTTTTCATTTAAAATATCTGTAAAATAAAAAAAAAAAAAAAAAAAAAAAAAAAAAATAAATAAAATGAAAATTCTATTTTAAACTAAAATATCAATATGATGGTTTATAACAAAAAAATAGAGTAAATAAATAAATAAAAAATAGTCACCTTAGTTCTTCCGTTGATAGTATAATTTCCCAAAGTACCATTTTTTTGCATCTTATTAGCTTTCACAATAATAGCATCAACTTGAGAAATAAGCATACCAATATTTTTACACTCTCTTTCTTTTCCATCAATCCACAATATTTTATCACCTCTAATTGATTGTGAATTTCTAAGACTAGCTTTATTAGACACTAATTGACCGGCTTGAAACATTCCAGAATCGTACATATTTAAAACTTCTTTTAACACCGCGAGGCCCCTGTCAGGACCAAGAAAACCATCAACAACACAAACTCCGTACATATTCATATCATAAATAACATTTGAACAAATGTCTTCAAGAGTTTTATTATCACCATTATTTCTACCCCTACACACAAAAGGAGAAATAACGTCGAGGTCTCCTCTGAGGACAACTTCTGGAAAATTCTTCATCGCGTCGTGTTGCAACGAAGTATCAGAAATGACACCTTCCGTTTTTTCACCAGAATTTGAAATCTTTTGTGGTGGAATACGATTCATCAATTTCGCGGTCGCACTTAATAATATCTCTCCCTCTAAATTTTCCGTTAAACTTTTACTATCCGTGTCTCCTTTATCGTCTGGTGAACTTCCATTAGATTTTAATTTTCTCTTTGCAGGTGCAATATTTTTACTGATTTGGTTTATTATATTAATACCTTTCGTATTGTTTAATTCTGTGAACAATAAAACCAATAACAATTATTAGAGTAAAAAAACAATTTACAAGTAAACTATTCTTTAAAAAAATAAAAATAAATAATCATTATCATTGCATTAATATTTACTTAAAATACATACCCCGAGTACATTGATTACTTTTTTCATCGATATTAACTGCTGACGTCTTCTGCGGTATAAATCGTGAAAAAATCTCACTGTTGCTGTTATTACTAGTTAGGTTAACTAATGTTTTACTATCTGTCAAACAATCCGACGATTCGTAGCTCAATGAAGGTCCCACTTTGATTCTGCTATTTCTATCATTTAAACAAACACCACCAGCAGAATGAACATCAGCATCATCTGGAAATATCGATGCTGTTGGTGATAAACGTGATGAGGGAGATGTGGACGAAGGTAACGAATCGTCAATACAATTGACTTTATGTTTCTTCCAATCAATCTTTTGGTGCTCTTTTGAACAATAAAAAATATTTTTACACCTAGAACACCTTTGTAATAGACCTTTTTTGTTACAAACAGCACAAGACGGCTGTTGACACTTTAATGATGATGAGGAACGATTAATAACACCGTTTTCTGAGGATACTCCTACACGACTGCTAACTCGATGAGACATATTACTCAGTTTTATTTACGTCTATACAATTATCAGCAACGGCGACATTTTTACAAGCACCATAGTCACATACGCCACCCGCTTCCGCGATATTCACACGACTCAATTCGTTGCAACTCGTAGCTCAATGTATATAGCATGGAATAGCATGGAACCTAGACGGCGAATTGGTGGTTTATCAACTGTGTGTTTGGCTGTATGTACACGACCTGACGCTGAAATTAAATAAGTGTATGTAGACCATCGCAATAAGAATGAATAAAAATTACGAATAATAAATGCTATCTATCTATAGACATATTTATACTGCTCATGTTATTATTGTACTTTCAAACATGCGTATAACATACCTTTTAGATTACTATCTTTACAACTGATGATTTACTTTTTTAATTATATTTTTTAAAGTTTGTTTATAAATGTTCTCCAAATACATAAATTTATTTGAGTACATAAATTATATTTGCTCTTTTTTTCTATATAATCACAATAATCGATTTTTTTTTATTCAAACTGTAATAAGCGAAGAAAAATCAAATTTAATAGGTTAGGAGAAAAAATACAACTTGTAGGAAATTTCATTACCATACATAGTTAAGGTAGTTGATTTTGGAAATCTTACACATACTACAAAATTTGTATACATGTACTCACTTATACTAATAAATATTTACTTATATACTATTTACATGATATATTTAATGTATATGGTGTCATTGCGTATTCGTTCATAAAACATTTCACCTGCCAAAAGCGGTTTCAAATTTACACATTTTATAATATTTTTTGAACAAAAAAAAAAAAAAAAACAATTGAAAAGAAAAAAAAAAAATAATTTAAGGTGATAAATTAGAATAAAAAAAATTTTTGATTTATAATGGAAACTGAACCTTTAGATCTAGAGGATGGTGAGGTTGTTGAGGATGAGGTAAAATAACATTTATATTTCTTAATTGAATAACCTCAAAAAAATTTTATTTGATTTATTTAAAATTGTTTTGCTTAAAAATGATATAAATTTTTACAGCCGATTGATGCCTTTGACACTTACACGATTCTCCAGAGGCCACAGACAACGTCTAATCCTAAAACGATAATTGAGCCAAATTACAGCGATGACAGTGAAGATACTGACGGATCTGCAGACTCTGCCAGTGATTCAGACTCTCATTTGGCTAAAACAAAGAGACCAAAATTGAAGGCACGTAGACGTAAGGTTGATTCGTCCCAAATACCAAATAAGTATAAAATATGGTGTACACAAGTGCAAGAGGAAGCACTGACTGAAAACTTGGTTTCATGTGGAGTAACGAGAAAACTGCATCAAGGCAGAAGTGTTGAGAACTATGATATACCGAGACACTTTCGTATGAATGGATATGACAAACATTTGAATAACGTGAGTTCTGATGAGGAGAAAGAAGTGGCTTACAGAACAAGTAATAAAAGAACACATACTGAGAGACGTAATGTCAAGCTCCGACTTGGTAAACGCTCTAATTCAATGGATGTTGATAATCAAAAAGGTTCTGTAAGAACTATTTTAGAGTTGCAGACAAGTGTTGAGTCAACAGATGATGAAGTTGCTAATGATATAGCTGAAAAGCTTAATGAAAAAAAGGATGCTCTTATTAGTAAGTTTTTTCTATTAATCCTTCTTTAAAATCTTATTTTATGATAATTGAAACTATTTTTATTGATAATTAATTAATTATCTATGCTCATAAATTGAATATTTTTATTATTTCAGAACGAATAGTTGATATTATTGGTAAGGAAAAGTCTATAGAGTTTTATAAAAAAACAAAAGAAATCGAAGAAGATGGTGGCTTATTGATAATGAATGGATCAAGAAGACGAACACCTGGTGGTGTTTATTTTTATCTTGTTAAAAATGATGAACATATACCTCAGGAACAAATACGTGAAATATTTTCATTAGATAAAAAAGAGGCTAATCATACAAAAAAGAAAATTAATTCTGCTAGGTTACGAGAAAAATCTAATCAATTAATGAAAAGTTTGGAAAGTAAGTAATTTATATAAATATTAATGAAAATAAAGTTAGCCGAGATTTCAGAATTTTTAGAAATTTTTTATTGAAAAAATTTCAATTAAACAAAAAAAAAAACTTCACATGTAAAAAATTTGAAAAACTATCAGTGCAATTTTTTAGAAATGTCTTTTTAGTTGTAATTTAATTAATAAAAAAAATCAAAAATTTTTAGACGTCTGCTAACTTCAGTATCATAAATATTATCATTTATTATTGGTATTGTTGTAAGTAAACTAACGATTTGTTCATTTTAAAAATTAAGATGGTTCAGAAAAGGATTTACCAGCATTGTTAACAAGAGCCGAGTTGTCGACAAAAATAGCTGAGGAAGCAAGATTAAGACGTGGTGAAGGCATGGATAGACTTCCAATAGACTCCGAACATACGGTATCAAATCCTCCACCAAGCCCAGCTACTGACGATCCTGACCATTCCGATAGTGCTCCCAATCAAAGACGAGTTCAAGATTACAGCGACGACTTTCTTGATATTGGTGTAGATGTTGATGTTATGGAGATGTTTTAAAGTTACATACGCACAATTTATAATAACATCTGTTATTAAGTATCTGTCGCTTGTCTAAAAATATGGTCGTGAATATTATTGTGAGATTGTTATTATTAAATTGAAAAAAAGTTTATATTTTTAATTATAACATTCTCACTCTTTTGTAATTACAATTATATATTATATATGTTTATAATATATGATAACTGATAACTGTAAAAATTATTAAGTAATAACTTTGTGCCAGTATTATTGAGGTTCAAAAATTTTTCATATTATTGAATATATTTTTTTAAATAATATTCAACAGAATTAAAGTTTTTAAGTTTATAGTTTAACCATTTGGAAATGATAAAGAATAATAGAAAGAACAAAAATAATACTGGTTTTACTATTAAGTAGTTAGAATGTTAAAGCATTAACATAAATTTTTTGTCTTAATTTTAATTAGTTATAAGTTATAATTATATAAAACTTTAAATTTTATTTTAAGAAACAAAAGTTTTGTAATAATGTAATACGTATTTTTAACATATTATTAATTTTGTTAAGTGATATCTTTACGAATTGGTAGCTTCTTACTTCTTTGATTGATGTCAAAAAATTAAAACTAATTTTTGGTTCATTATTTAAATTAATATTCCTAGCTAGTAATTCAATTAATAAAATCGTTATAACTTTTAATAAATCAATGTTTTTCAATATTTATAATTATTTAATAAAATAAAAATTGAACTGAAATAACCCTCACAATTATTAATTAATTCATATTTTTATAACGGATTCACTAATTTGAATGATTTTTTTAGTCATATTCACTAATAAAAATTCATATTAGTTGTCAAGTATTTTTGTTAGTTTTTACTTACCATACTCCATTTATTAATTGATTATTTAAAAAACTATTCAAATTTTTCACAAATAAAATTCAGCTGCTGTTAAAAATTTTAAAAACTACTTTCAAAAATTTATTTTATTTTATTTCATACAATGTGTAGGATGAATGCATTATCTTCAAGTATTACCAAAACCCAGGTTGCTATGAAATGCAATACCAAAATTTTCATTATCTATAGAGTAAGTTTATAATGATAATAACTAAACTAGACATGCTGTTAATTACGTTAAAACAATATTAAGAAGAAACTAAATTAAGAGATACAAGATACAATATTATAATCAATGAATAATTATAAAGTAAAAAAAATGTATCAGTAAAATTCAAGAGTGTATAGTATATATAGTATCTAATCATAAATTTTTGTACGTTCAATTGAATTCTGAAGCTAAGTGACGAAGCAAACGTTTTTTCTTCAGTGTGAAAATATCAGTCTTTGAAATGTTCTTCTTTAGTATATCAGATCTTCCTGATGTAAGATAATAAGTAAGTAGTGGCGTACTTTCAGCTGTTAACGATCAAACAGTATATAGAAAGACATAGAAAAAAAATAAATACATTTAAATATAAACGATAACAAAAACATACCTTGTTCTGTCCTTAAGCCACGGTGCAAATAAATGTTATCTTTTATTCGTATACATAAAGTACCTATTATAAGTGCGAGTAGGGTATGCTTATTAATTTTAAATAATTCCAAATAAATATTTAATAATTCCTGATAATTTACAAAAAAGGACATTACGATGGGCTATTAATGTTCTTCGATAAAGTAATACGTGAGAAAATTGAAGACTATCCATAATTAAGATTTTAAAATTTGTAGAAGTGTCGGATTTAACTAATATTTTTAATGAATTCCAAATTGACAATGGTGAAAAATCTTCACTGAAAAAACGCAATTTTATTACATTAAACCCTTTATCTCTTTCATTATTATACAAAAAAGAAGAACCATCAAAGTTATCTCATCTTGTTTCATGGAGTCTGGGTGCATCCACTTGATGAAGCGAAATTTTCTCAATTGATGTTTTTTTTTAATTTAAAAGCAACATTTCAAGTCATTGAAAACAGTTTAAATGATTTTTTATCGTCTATTTCTTCCATAGTATTCTTCCCAGCCAAATAAACTTGTCAAGTAAGAATTTAGAATAATACATAAAGTCGGGACGTCCAAACTTTTAATAGGCCGGTTTTTTGTATTAATTAATAGGTTTGATATTGATGACTTCTATAAAAATTATTTTCCAGAAATACTTACGGAAGTAACCGCAGCAAACTTGTTATCTTTTCAACATCCCAGAACTTGGTATATAGATTTAAATCGAAATTTTTGTTGTATTGAATTTGAATGCAGAAAACGGAATTACAAGCAAAGTAAGTATTCATTTGAATTACAGACATCGATTGGTTAATCCAAAATCATAATTCTTTAGATTTTTAAATCGGAATATTAAAATCTAACTTGAGTTTTAAATTTAATAAACGATAGCTTAGTAATGGAAGATAAATTTGAGTGATTCATATGATAAAAACTTTTTAACTCGGACCAAATTGAAAATGTAATACGTCAATCTCAATATTATTTGCTCACAAATGATCATTAAAAATCAATTTATTAATCAAGTAGCTCAATATACGAGCAATTGTGTTACATTTTAATATTACTACGATTGTTAAACATATCAATAATTTCCATAGCTATTAACTTATAATGATTATTAATTATATAAAAATAACATAATAGTGTATTTGTGTACCAATTTCCAGTACAATGTAAATAAATATGAAATAATAATAACAAAATAAGAATTGATAAAAATTACGATAAACGAATTAAGATTTATTTTTAGTAATAGCATATAACATTCAAATTTCATGCATAATTCACACAGATAGTGAAACAAAGCTATTATACTGAGTGATGTTCCGTTTGAGAATATCTGCGCACGGCCCCAAGACCCGCTCGAAGCGTGCTCTGTCAAGTTTAACGCATTTCAATGGACCACGAGCTACCACCGTTGCTGCACGTGGCCTGTCCAGCAGTAATGCAATTTCACCTACACGGAAAAAATAATTCAATAATTTAACTCGATCTAATAAATTATAATTATAATTTACCAAAGTAATCAGATGGACCAAGTCTTCCAACTTCTGTTGGTTCTTCTCCTTCGCTACGTTGCTGAAGTACCACAGCTGTCCCTTCGACAATAATATAAAAGTCTTCTCCAGGTTCTCCTTGTCTTACAATTGTTTCACCGTCTTCAAAAACAACTGGTTCAAGGGCATCTGCTACCGTTAACCGCTCCCATTTATCAAGTGACTCTAAAATTAAAACAAACCAAACCCGAATATAATTATTAAACTTGACCGAAAAAAAAAAAATCACATAATTAATAATAAATTATTTTTAAATCTTACCGAGAATGGATACTCTGGATAAAAACTCTTCATACATTTTTCTTTTTCTAATCGTAGAGCCCATGAGAATACGTCGATAAGAATCACGATCAATACCCCAGAGTTTGACATCCGTCTTAGCGCGTACTGTTGCAGCACGTGGAGTCCCATAGATCAACGCCAATTCGCCAAAGCTACCACCCTCACCGATTGTGGTTACCAATTCTCCATTAACAAATATTTCAACTTCTCCTTGGTCAATAACATAAAAATTATCTCCTTCATCGCCTGTATATGAGAAAACAAAATTAAATTATCATCTTATATAAAATTAAAAGGTCATATTTCATATAAATAATTATTGACTACTATAACTGATGCATTTAGCGTTAGTCGTGTCATATTATTTTTTATTTTTTTTATAAAAAAATAATATTATTTAAAATAATCTAGGCGAATTAAATATAAATGTATTTACCCTGGCGAATAATCAGTTCTCCAGGTAGAAAAGTAACAGGAAACATGGCGTCAAAAATATCTGATCTTTCATTTTCATCTAAATGTGCGAATAAAACATTTTTGGCAATGGCTTTACTCAATGCAGCCATAGTTTTGTAGTCCTTGGGCACAACTTTTTTGACGTAACTCGTCGCATCTTCCTCAGACACTGGCTCGGCAGATATCCCACCTCGGCGCCGCGGTACTTGAGGACCTTGCTGACCCGCGGGAAGATCCTCAATGTCCTCGGGACTTGTCGCAATCTGTTGTTTTGCATCGTGCGCTTGTTCCTATATTGATCCGCAAAAAAAAAAAAAAAAATTCAATTAAATATTAATTTATTTGATAAATTTAACATATTTAATTAATAATACCTCTGTCATTATAATTAACAATTAAATAAATAAATATGGAAATATTAAGGTAAGAAAATGCCACTGAAACACGAGTGTATATGTCAGTAACACGATTCACTAATTAAATAAAAGTAGTATACACCGAGGAGAAATTGAATTAACTGGAACAAAGTTTAATTGAGTAAGTGACTTTTGCGTGTGTGTATCTATAAAACTCTAATTGTTATGATTAGAAGAACATCAATAAAAAATGTAATTCGTTTAAAAACTTATTATTATTATTTTTGCGATAATAATAATGAATATACTAATAATGAAACTGTTTCTCGCGTACGCAGTAGAATACTGAAGAGGCAAAAATATGAAATCGAGTTTCCATATTTTCATGTTATTACGTTAAAAGCACACGACCACTTCTTCTCCCTCCTCTCTGTTTGTGTGATATTGTAGCTGTTGGCTAATATAACATGTCACTCGTTATATTTTGAGCATATTCTAAGATTAGACCGTCAATCCCCTACGAGAATTCTACACACAATAACCGTAAAACCCTCTAGCTGCTCTCATAAACGATACATTCAGTTCTGGTGTATCATAATCATCATAATCCACCTCTGCATGACATATGACATACTACGTCTATCTCTATACGTATGCTTGAAAACCACATCACAGCTAAGTGTATTATATGTACACAATTGTTACTATATAGGAAGTAAAGAAATGCACGATGGTGAAGGTGATGGTGATGGTGGTTGTGATGACGATGATGATGATGACAGAGATAAGTAATAGTATGAGTACGTGACACGCGCACGTGCATTTTATTTTACTCTTTTCCAACGTCAATATTAATGCAACATTAATTTCTTGATTATCTCGATAAATCTTCGCTAAGCTCGCTGATTAATACTAATATTAATTATTAAATATTTAAAACAAGTGATAGTAATTTCTAAAAGTGTAACTGAAACAAATTAAAAATTCAATGAGTAAAAGTAAATAAAAATAATAAAATGGAAAAAAAAAAAAAATCTCACCCTCTCAAGTTTCTGAAAGTATTCACGCAGGAACGGTATCGGATTTTGAGGTCTCCCCACACACAATTGAACAATACAGTCCTTAAGAACCTGCTGAATGTTATGTCGTTGGACGTATTCTTCACATTCGCGTAAACTCTGCTCCTCTTCGAGATTGGCAGCCATATTTTAATCACCAACACCAACTATCTACTTCTCAATACACTAGTACTATGATAATACACCTGATGAGGTCTGATTACACCTGTTACCACATTTAATTATTATATTTCCAGTTCTATTGTATATTATATATACGTACTCCAATAATATGAAACCAAAGATCCCCAAGTATACTCTTAAATTTTCATATAAATATCACTAAAACATTAAATAAATAAATATACAAATTAATTGTACTTATTTTTAAAATTATCACTTATATAATAATAATTAATAATAATAATAACAATATAAAATACAAGATAAAACTTTTGAATATTTCAATACACTTCACTCCCAATCTCTATATTTTAATGAATTTCCACAAAAAATGTTAGATGCAATGTTTAAATTTACACAATGTTATTGAATTATGCCTGTGTAGAGTCATTATAAATCCACCCAATTCATTTTTTTTTTTTTTTTTTTTCCAATTAATTATTTTTTACAAATTGCTAATTATTTATTTATATTGTTTCAAATATTAATTAACTATTCATAAAAATAAAAAATGGGTTTACAAACATGTTATTGACAAATCCATATTATTTCGTACACTTGTTTGATGATTAAGTGCATGTGTACTTGGATATACCTATTTTGTTAGTTACTAACTAATGTAAACTCCAAATCGTTAGGCATAGAAAATAAATAATCCACATACAATAAAAAATATACAATGTTTACTCGTACGAACTTACTGTCACATATGAACTCATGTATGTATTTACTTTACATACTACGTAAGTGTGTAATATATAAAACGACATTTAATGAGTTTGTCAATTGTTATAATTTTATTTATCAATGAGATCGTTTAATGAACCTATCGTCGTTATCGTTTGGCAGGAAGACTCACCAATCACGATTAATGTTTACTATTTTTCTACACACGCAAGACTATTTTCTTTATTTATATAGTCTTATTTTAATGTTATATATTTGTCATTAACATTCTCGAAGTAAAGATATGGAATAATGTGTAAAATAAAATGTCAAGATCAATAATAGCGAGTTGAGCCAACTGTTGAAAAATAATTATTTACAATGACAACTCAATGTCCCTAGAGTTTTTTTTTTATCGATGCACGGTAGTGTAAGACTCAGTTATATAGACAAAATAATCGGTAAATTATCGATACAAGTAAGTAATAATACAACGCATGCGTATAAAGCAATTATTGCAGCCATGCAGTTAACTTCAAGCACCAGAGTTGTATATACTGATAAATTGCAAACTTCACTATGCATACTAATATATATAAAAAAAAAGTTAAAAAATTTTTTTTTACCCCGACAAATCTTGCTTGGTGTGTATAAATTTCTATTTATCAAAATTCAGATAATATTTATTTTATTTATTTGTAAAGTGTTAGTAATATAACATTACAATTAATGTTTAACAATTAAATGCAACGAAATCGAATGCTGCAACTAGAGTTAATATCAAACGCCTGATCATCATTATAAATTTTTGCGCATTGAAAAATATCGCCAAGTATATACACAATAAGGTATGTACGTTACATATGTGAAGTATTAGTTTTATTTTTATTATTATTATTATTACTATTGGATACATTACTTGCGCATTGTATAATTCTTGTACAATTAAAATCTAATTAACTATATATCATAATATAACTATTATTAAGCTGATTAAAAAAATTTAATGATGTAATTATTTCACTTATGAAATTTAATTATTTTTCATCGATTAATTCGAATATTCATTTTAAATTCACTAATTATGTTGCAGGACAATGACGACTCATCAGAGAAAATAGTAGAATAATTTCCAACGACAAAAGAGACAATGTCCGAAGATAGTTCAACGTTATCAAATGGTCTAGAGAGCAGAGACAATCGAGGACGAGCACTACGTACTGAAACCACTGGAGCAGCAGCTGGATCACGTTCCACGAGATACCGGATAGAAATATTGCGAGGGCTTAGTAATAGCTTTAGATCAGAACCATCGAGTAGTTATTCGACAAATGGTAATTATATTAGTCGGATTTATTTAACTCAACTAAAATTTTATGTTCAATTTTAATTGAATACTGAGTAATTATTAGCGACCTTTGAAGAACCCTCAGACACACACGCTGCAACAATGTCTTCAGAAGATGAGCCGACGTTTAATTCAACGTCAAACGTAACAGAGCATGAGTCTTCGGGTGATGTTACTGATGGAGCATCATCACCCAATCAAACGTCTGCTAGTGCGCCTACATTAAGTTCTGACGAAGAGTAAGCATATAAAATTTTTATTTGTTTGTTAATTTTTTATATTTTCATCAACTGAACTGATTTTTATTCAGCAAAAGGTATTGCTGGGTATGCTTTGCAACTGATGAAGATGATGCAACAGCTTCGTGGGTTAAGCCATGTCACTGCCGAGGTACTACTAAATGGGTCCACCAAGGTTGTATACAGAGATGGGTTGATGAAAAGCAGAAAGGTAGAGCTGGGGTTTATGTTGCTTGTCCGCAATGTAATACACAGTATATTATTGTTTATCCACATATGGGTAAGTAAATTGTAAAATGATATTATTTTTTTTAACTTGTCTAATAGTCAGGATTTGAGCGCTGTAACAAAAAAATCACAAATAAAATAACCAAACTACAAAAAGTTTATAATTAATCTCTCGAAAATAGATCAACAAGTAGCTTGTTATTTTGATGTGCCCTTTTTTTATGGATTTTGTGCGTGTTTATTAGAAAATAGGCCAACACATGAGCTTTTTACCGTATTATGTCCTTTTTTCATAAATTTTAAAATAATTACTTAATTACTTAAATAATAAAAAATAATTACTTAACTCTTCAATTAGTGAAATCACCGATCTTCGGAATAAATGAAATTATTATTATTATTATTATTATTATCACTTTAATTTCTTTCAATTTATGTATTCTCAGAAATTTTTGTAATCATTTGGATTTGTGGTCAAAAGGAGAATTATCTCCATGATCAATCAAATAAATGAATTATAATATTTAAATAACTTAATTTTGAGAATTTGGACAATAAATGAAGATATTAAATTATAAGAATTGCAACGTTTCGCTGATTTATTTCAGCTTCATCAGGCAAACTAAAAATAAAAAAAAAAATAATTTTTAGTTAATACAAATCTTTGACTCATAAAACGAAAATAAATGAAAATAACAATAGTTACTCTTATGGTTAGCATCCTCGTTTAGTTTTTACAAAGTCAATAGATGTAATAGAGTAAAACAGCATATTCATAATCTCAAACATTTTTTTAAATTACGATATTAACAACTTGTTTAGATTTCTCTCAAATACCATTCAAATTGATGAATTAATAAGATAAAATAAAATTTTTATTATAATATTTTGTCGTTTGGTTATTTTGTCCACGGTTTATTTATCTTCGGTTATTTTTTCCGCGGTTATCTAGTCGCGGCACTCAGGATTTTTGCTTCTAAAATATTGAAATAGTTAATTAAAAATAATAATGTATGAAAATTTGTAAACCAAAATTTTCAATCATCAATTTTATTTTAATATTTTATTGTAATATTTCGATGACATATAATTGATGTATTATTATTTCAGGTCCTTTAGTCGGAGTGTTGGATACAATAGACGGTGTAATTTTTCGAGTGTGTCCGTTTATTGCTGCTGGTATAGTAGTAGGCTCCATTTATTGGACTGCTGTGACATATGGAGCTGTTACGGTGATGCAAGTAGTGGGTTATAAAGACGCCGTATCTATTCTTGAGTCGTATGATCCTCTAGTACTTTTAGTCGGGTTGCCAACAATCCCCATCATACTTGTCCTTGGTAAAATGCTGCGATGGGAAGATCAAGCCTTGAGGTTACTCAGAAGATATGCTTGCAAGGTTCCAGTTCTTAGACATTTTTTGCCTCAAAGGTATTTATTTTTTTTAATAATAATTTATATTGAAAATTTTTTTAATTTAAACTATCGAAATCATATATAGATTTTGAAATTTATAGTTATTCTATTTAAATAGATTTTTGATTTTTAGTTATTCAGATGAAGAACGAATTCAATCGCAAGATGTACCACCAATGAGAGATCCGATTTGTGCAACGAGAATCATTTGTGGTGCTCTTTTACTTCCTACTATTGCTAGTATTTGTGGTAAAATATTTTTCGAAAGTATAAATTCTAATTTTCAACGTACAATCCTTGTAAGTAATTATTTTACTATGTATTAAAAAAATAATGAATTTATTTTGTAAAAAAATTTTTTTTTAATTAACTTACAGGGCGGCGTAGCATTTATTACGATAAAAGGAGCATTTAAGATATATCACAAGCAACAACAGTATGTGAGACAATGTCAAAGACGCATACTGGATTATACGGACAGTAATGTCGCTATGTACAGACGACGACAGAATACTGAAAATGGTCAGACGTAAATTTACTATTTTAAAAATATGATGAATGAATAAATAAATAAAAATAGAATTCATGTTAAATGGAGTTATATATATTATGTATCTAACTGTCAATCTCCGATGTACGAGTTGCTGTATTGGTAATTGGTAGTATAAAATAGATCTTGACAAGACGAAGATTATGTATATGGACTTGTGGAAATTTGAATATTTCGACTGTAGAAAAAAGAAACAAAGGATTCGAAGAAAATCACGCTGTAAATAAACATTTTATAATTATTATCTCCGCAGAAACAGGTTATAGATTAAAAAAAAAAAAAATAAATAAATAAACAAATCACAATAGTTAATATCACAGTTGTAGTTATCACTGGTATAGTAGAATAAATTCTATCCCTATTTGATAATTTATAAATATCAATATATAAATAGTTAAAATTATATTTTTTTTTTGTATTGTTTATTGATTGTTTTAATTCTACATCTCTACAGCAATTATTTATAATCTTATAATAATACTCTTATCAAATGGGATAAACTTATTTAAATTATCATCTGTTCAATTATAGTTTATAAATAATAAAAATAGTTTGAACAAAAGAAAAAAAACTAAAATTTATCATTTAACGTGTAAAGTTTTAATTAAGGGTGCTCGGGATTGCTGATGTATAATTATTAATGAATGTTTGTAATTTCAACTTTGTTTATTAATAAAATTATTTATTTTATCATCACATGAGAAAATATTAATTTATTATTTTTATAAGGCATTTTCGTTTTTAAGACATCTACTATTAATACCTTTAATTATTAACTTTTATTTAATTATCATTACATTTGATTGCTAACTATTAATATTTAATATTTTATTTTATTTACACTAAATTTATTTACATAAAATTATTAAAGACAAATTTACATCTAAGTGTCAAGTTTGTGACTGAAATTTATTTAATTTTTTATCACGTTAAATAGTCAATTGGCCTAGAATATTTTAAAACTTTAATAAATGGTATCATTTTATCAAAAAATTTGAATGATAGTTATGATAACTTAATTGCTACTATAAATATATTCGTTTTTTTTTTTTTTTTTTTTTTTTTTTTTTTTTCGATAAACCTTTGGTAAATGTATTTTGGATTATTTAAAACTTATCGCGTTACTAAAACCATAAGGGCGTATCCCAAAATATACGCCCTTATGGTTCTGCAGAACCATAACGACGTATAAAAAATTTTTTTTGCTCCAATCAATGTAAAAATGTTGAAAACATTAACCTCTACGGAAAAAACGAAGAAAAAATTTTTTTTGTGATACGCCCTTATGGTTTTAAGAAAAGATTTTTCTAAAACCATAAGGGCGTATCCTGTTTTTTCGATTTATTATGAAATTATAGGTCAGAGTAAGAAAAAAATTAGAAAAACGGTTCACCCTAAATGCCATCCGTGCAACTTCCCGCTAATTCCATTCCTGGCCGCTTAAAATCATAATTATGACGTTTTTGAGATTTTTAAGCTCAAAATATAATTTTTATTTTGAGCTCTCTGAGTTTAAAGAAATAATATTTCAATGCATTTGAGCTCTCCCAGCTCAAAAGTTTGATAGAAGTTTCATAGAACACTATTTTTGGAATTTTTAAACCGCAATAGCTTTTGGATGGATCAACCAATTTTCACGAGGTCGGCGCCATTTGACGCAATTTTATCATCCTCATAAGTTATTTTCATGTTTTAATTGATAGAACCGAAAATTTCGGAGTAATCCCGAAAAAAACACTTTTTTCGGTTTTCTTTCGTTCACGATATCTCTCGAACGAATCAAACGATTTTGACCAGCTTGGTGGCAATCGACGTGATTTTTTTATGTTAAGAGCTGATTAGTTTTTGGAATCGATCGGTAGAGCTGTTTGAAAGTTATTCCAAAAAATGTCGGAGTTATGTTGAAAAAATCCTTATTTCTAAATATTTCGTCGAGAATATCTCTCGAACCAATCAACCGATTATTACGTTTTTGGTGACGATAAACGAGGTTTTTTGAGATCTAAAAATTATTTTATTTCACCGAAAATGATCCGAAAAGAAATATCGAAATTATGTGAAAAAAACACTTTTTTCGGTTTTCTTTTGTTCACGCTATCTCTCGAACGAATCAACCGATTTTGACCGGATTAATGTTAATTATAAATAGATCTGAAGTAAAGAAAAAAAAAATCAATTTAGAAAAACTTTGAGGCTAATTTTATTAATTTGAAGACATACCGATTGTTCTCAAGATGTTATGAATTTATTATTTCTTAATTTTTCATTCGATAGGCGCGCAGTAGCCTATCGGATCCGACCCTTGCTACCAAAGCATTGGACCGGGTTCGAGTCCGGCGTGCACCAATGAATATTTTCAATATTTAAGTGTATTATTCTGCTCAGCCCAAGAAATACAAACGAGTTCCAATCTCAAAAGTTTACCCCCTACCGTAGTCGCTCATGACCTTAGTAGTTTATGCGACTTTAAACAAATTTAAAAAAAAAAAAAAAATTTTTTTCATTCGTTTTTTCATTCAAATAAATATTTGTTGGTATAAATTAAATTGTGTAGTGATAATTTCTACTACCTTTGCAATTTTTTTTCTTACTCTGACTCTTTTTTCGGTTTATTATTTATAATTGATAATAAACCGAAAAAAAACAGGATACGCCCTTATGGTTTTAGACAAATGTTTTCTTAAAACCATAAGGGCGTATCACAAAAAAAAATTTTTCTTTGTTTTTTCCATAGATGTTAATGTTTTCAACATTTTTACATTGATTGGAGCAAAAAAAATTTTTTTATACGCCCTTATGGTTCTGCAAAACTATTAATTTATAAAGTGTAATAATTGTAAACTTTACTGCCCATAACAAAAATAAATCACACTCGTAAAAATATAACCACTAATGTATAAACTATAAAAAATTATATCACGCCAGTTACTTTATTTTATTTAGGATTAAGTAATCTAAGTATTATATTTATATATTTATTGCTAAATTTTTGTACTATAACAAAGTACTGACGTAAAAAATTAAATTAATTATCATTTAAAGTGTCATTTAGTTGTAAATTAATTGTTAATTAAGTAGACGCTAAAGTTTTTGTACTTAGCTTAACTTAAAATCTAAAGAGTTATTAAATAAATCTAAAGGGTCAGAAAAGTATGAATATTGCAAAGGTTTAGTGAAAATGCTTTGGGTAATTAATATATCAACACTTTCATTACTATCACCTCAGTGGAGGCCCAAGATATCTCAGACTAGTAGAGTAGAAGCACGGAGGTTGATCTGTGACTATTAATTTTACTTTTATCGGTGAGTTATCTTTCGACTCCGACGATGGAGAGGATGGTGATGCTGGATTGGGTACTTGCTTGAAAAATGTACACATTCGATTGGATACTCCTTCATAAGGTGGACTTAAGACATCTAGGAATGCTGCTGGGCCTTTTACACATGTTATTTCATGCAAGTTTTGGTCGTGTGGTAATAATACACATGCTGGATCATTTATTTCAACTATTTTTAACGGATGTTTCAGTGCATCTACTTCTGTACTATTTGGTAAATTTTCAGTTGGTTGAAATGGGGTGAAACTATTTATTTTAACTGTACCACAAATCACCTGCAACAAAAAAATAAAAATATTTAATTCTGTTAATAAATTTATAATTTGTATTTATTTATTTAAAAAATACATATTATGACTTAAGCGAAAATGACAAAATCACCATGACTGATAATTTCATGAAATTGTCAAAAAACTAATTGTCTATTATGACATTTTCAAATTAATTTTTATTTACATATATTGACATCATCAAATGCTGAATCATATTAATGTAAAATTAATAAATGTAACTGGCCATTATCCTTAAATATAAAAGAAAGGAATGTTGGTTATTTATGGAAATTAAAACAATAAGTAATGATACCTAAAATAACAAACATCTGACAATTTTTTTAATATTTTTTAACAAAAAAATTATTATAAAAAATTGAAAAAAATTCCACATGTAGGAATTTAAAAATACTATATGCGCAATTTTTTTTTTTCAGTATTTTTTTAGTACTAATTTATTAGCTGAATAAATTGAAAAAATGATCAGGTACTTGCTGATTTATGATACTAACATTAGCAGACATCTGACAATTTTTTAGAATTTTACTCAACAAACAATTTATTGCAAAAATAATATGAAACTAAAATTTTTGATTTTTTTCAGCAATTAAATAACAAGTTAAAAAATTTGAATGTATAATTTTTTAAATTTACAAGTGAAATTTTTTTGTAATAATTTTTTCAAATTTGAATAAAAATTTTAAAGTAGAAGTTTTAGAAATCTATGAATGCCTTTTTTATAAAATATTTTTTTAGTATTAATACATTTTTTAAATAGAAGTAAAAATCATCAGATGTCTGCTGATTTTAGTATCATAATAATATTAAAATTAAATAAATAAATTACCTTCAATAAACCATGCATACCAGGATGGTTATGCAGAGGTAAAGTTTCCCCATGCTTCAATAAAAAAATAGCGATTGTAATATCATTGTTTTCAAAAATATCAATACAGCACATGGGTGCAACATCATTTTCAACATGATCAAGTACTCGTTTATCAACACCCACATCCTCAGCCTTGATATCATTTATCATACTGTGGAGTTTATCAAAATTATTTTTACACATTTTATAACCTGCTGATTCACATCCAGTGAATGTTTTTAATGCTTGCTTCCACAATAACTCTATTCGAGACATCATTCGAATTTTCATCAAACAATTTTTATTATTAAAATAGATTTATAATTTATAAATGTATAATTATTATTATTATTATTTAATCAACAAGTTGGCTGTTCGAGAACACTTGAGAAAAGAATTTGTATCAATGTTGATATTTGCTGGTTTAGAACTAGTATGTTGATACATCAGTCAACCAAAGGTGATATCTTTATGTTTTAAATAAACACTGATTAGGATTAGTCTGATAATATTTGGCTAATTGTTATTATTATTATGACCCTTCTATTGAACGATTTACTTAATATATTTACAAGTGAAGATGATTTAAAACAGCTGCTAACTTTATTATTATAATATGTATGGTTATACTGTTATGTATGTAGATATTCATATGTAATCAAATCAACTGTACTGCTCCAGCAGGTGTAATATAAGGACATGCGTGGTAACTTTTTTGTCAGCGGGTAAATTGAACCTTACTAGTTTTAGCATTCATAAATTATATTTTTACGCGGGAAAAATACTAAGACCTGTCACAAATTTTCATTCATAAAATATTTTTTTTTTTATTTTTTATTTTTCAACAATCCTAATACTGTTTAGTTAAGTTAAGTTCATGCTAATAAGGTACTTTAAAAGATTTCTTATAGTCACAGGTGCTCGTATTCATGAAATTATTAAAAAATCAATGTAAAGAGGAGCAGGAATACTAGAGAAAAAAAAATTTGTTCCAAAAAATTATTTTTAAAAAATTGCATTTTTATTTTATTAAATTTTCTAAATGTCAATTTTTTTTCTTATTTTTTTTTATGCAGTAATTTATTTATTAAAAAAATTATTAAATATCTGTTAAATTAATTTTCATTAAAAAAGACTAATAAATTTTTTTAGTTGAAAATTATTTGTCTGTTAAATTATAAATATATTAATATTAATAAGCAAATATGGTTAAAATAAAAAAAATTAAAATTCGCAGTTGAATAAACTAATTTTGTATTAAAAAAAAAATATATATATATTGCAGATACTTTAATTTTCTTCTCACAAAATTAAGTGTTACTCAATAATAAAAAATGACTCATAATCTTTTAAAAAAATTTTATGATACAAAAAATGGCAAACATCCAAAAACTTACTGAATAATTTTTTTTTAATTTTTCTATAAATACAAAGAATTGGATGTCTGCTATTTTCAATATTATGAAGCATGGATAAAATTTCGTTATTTTTGTACATGAAAAAAAAAAAAATAATGGTTTCAAATAAAGTAATTATGATGTTTAACTGAATTATATATTTAATGTATTTTCATTTATAAAGGGAATAATTTATTTTTCAAATAAAAGATAGTCAACATTTTAAGCTGAAAATCATTTACAAGGGACGAATACAGAATAATTAAAAAATTTTAATAACTAATTGAATAACGATTGTTATTTATAACTGTAATAATTTATAAAGCATTTTTAATAATTAATAATAGTACTTTCGCAAACTAAGACCTAAATAGTTAGTTCAATATTCATTTATTTTAATTTCTTTATTTATTTTTATTTGACAATATCACGAAGCTTTTAGTTTTCTTAATTTATTTTTACTTATTTACATACAATTTATAATTTTATTTGTAAACATAACAACAATTTGATTATCTAAAATTATTTATTTAATCATATTTTTTTTTTTTTTTATTTTATATTAGGCATTTTTTAAACAAGCTCGAGTTAAAATAGCTGTGACGTAGAGTGTTTGCAAGACTAAAAACAATACAACTAATATTAATTTACAATTTTAATTTGCATTTTGTTCACTTAAAATTATTACATATATCCATAAGTTTATTTTGTCTATTGGAAAACATTTATTTGAAAATAAACTTTTAATAAAAAATTAATGGATTTTAATTAGTGGTATTGGCACCAAAATATGTGCATTTATTAATTCATTTTTCTTTTTTTTTTTTTTCTATTTAATATTCTAACTGAGAAATACACATATAGCAAAAATATAAATACAATTTACAACTTAATACATTAATTAATTACAATGATTAACAGCTGAAACAATTTCTGTTTTTACTTAACATACTCAATAATTGTTTTAGTTTTACTCACAAATACAAATATAAATGAACGCGTGAAGATTGTGCGATGCATATTAAATAAATATTTTAATGTACACTCTAAATGTTTTTCTTCTGTCATTATAATTTTTTATTTTATAATAGTATAATTATTTGATTACGGTGAAATTTATATAACTATTAACCCTATATAAAAGTTCAACTTGAGTGCGAGACTAAGTGCGTAAATGAGTCATGAATTGTGATGATTTATTAAAATTGATTACCTATTATCGCTTAAAATTTTATTTAAATTTAAATTTTTATAGAAAACATAAATATGTAACTAGAAGAATCATACCAATATATTTTTAAGTTTTTAATCTAATTATTTTTAATTGTTTTTATTTGTGCAAAAGCATTGTGCTTGTCTAATTATGCCGGTTTTAGATCACGTATCTATACGCGGACGGATAAAATGTGAAAGATATTTCTTTAGTATAATAATATATGACGAAGAAAAATTTTCAGAACAGTATAGGACTTTTTTTTTTAACAATATTAAGTTTAAAATATTAACAATAAAATTTATAAATCTATAGTTAAATATTTAATTATGATTATGACAAGTGTATGTTAGAAGGCTATAAACTAAAGAACATTAAAAATTAAAAAGAAAACACTAATTCTGTATACAGTAATAATTGATAAGCGTTGATGTTTTTTCTTACTGATTAATAGAGCATCAATTTTAATCCTTTAATCTCTATTAGAGCTTCTATTCGTTATGATGACATCAATAATATATACGAGGTTATTATTTCGAGGTAGAAAATAATATCAAAATTCGACTAGAGCAACCACGAAAATTGGCACAACAATTTATGACGTCAAACACAATATTTATCAGAATAATAATAATAATTACAATTAAAAATATTTTACGTGAACATGATTTCATAATAAACATACTTATTTACAAATTATTATTATTTTTTTTTTTTTTTTTTTTTTCGTTTGAAGACTATTTTTCAAATTTATATTTCAAAATTGTAATAAATCATTTTAAAGTTTAAATATAACGACTACGCTTATAACCAACATCTATACAATATGAACATAAAATCAGTATAATAATGCTTGAAGTATAAATGATAATCGCTATTAACTCGTGGAAGATCATATTTATCGAAGTACATTTAAATCACATTTAAAACTATTTCAACGATAATAAAAATAATATGACTAATATTGATGATTACAATAATATATTTAATTGATTGATTAATAATAAGAAATTTCATCTTTAGCGATTTTATTTAGCGAGTTAAGTAATTTATTAATGGCCCCGTGGGTGAGACTAATTCCACAGACAATGCGGAATAATTCATTTAAATATTATATTTTTGGTCAATTTTAAAGACAAAGATTTAAAAGAGATTGTTGGAGATATGCGCAAATTATGGAGAATAAGTTTCTATTCATCGATACCAAAAGTCCATCGAGGACTTTATCAATAATAATTATCGATCTTTAAATTTTTCCTTCCATTATCAATTATCATCAATAAATTTACTAAATTTTATTCGATGTATAGTGTCTACTGGATTGAGCGTTCGTCAAACATACATGATAATTATAATTAATAATCACAATAATAAAATCGTAGGTGCTTTAAAAAAATAGATAAATAAAGCCAGTCGTTAGTCATAATTATCATTTAAATAATTATTTCATAAAAGATTTATATTTAATTATTTAATTCACGTGGGTTTAGTTTTTTCGGGACTAGGACTTGAACTTGGTGAGCGAGAACGTGAACTGGAGCTTGAGCTGCTGCTACTTGATCTCATTTTTTTCTGTAATTTTTGCTCGACTTTGTTCTTATGATTCCACAACGGACCACGAATTATTTTCAGAGTTGTTTCAAGCTCGTAGGCCTGATCCTTGAGCATATTGTACCTGGTTAAGTCAAGCCCCACTGCTTTGGCTCGTCTGTGAAATGCTTTCAAGTACCGTCTGTTCATAACTTCTGGTAGCATGTATTCCTAAAATAAATAATAAAATAAATATAATTACTCTTTATTGGTAAAATATATATTTTATTAAATAAAATGAATTTAAATAGTATATCCTGTTTATATGCTCATGTGGATGATCAATCGTCATTGCAGATGCACTCACTTGTCTTGTTACGACGAAATAAATATAACAGAGCATGCCCGTAGCGTATGTTACGAAGTAGGTCACGGGCTCCATAATATCCCACGAATACTCCCACCAGGTCAACCTTGCAAGGATTCCAAACTGCACAGCCATGGCAACGAGTCCTATCCAAGAGTGAAGGATCGCTCGTCTTTCAGCAGCCACCTCTAGCTCCAATTTTTTCTATAAATTTATTCATAAATTAATTAATTAATTATCCAAATAGCTCATTTAAATATTTAATGATAGTAATTAAAAATAAAACAACAAACTTCTTCCAATGGCTGCAGCTCCAACATCACCTGCTCCAGCTCAGCTATCACCTCTCTTTCTAAAATCGAATTGTGCTCGGTACACTGGAGAGTTTCGTACAGTTGACTCACCGTAACTTGAACGTCCGACAATTTTTGCATCGTCTCCTATTATATAGTTCAAATTAAATTTTATTAAATTGAAACTCTTTATTTATTTTATTTCTTCTATTCATTTAAAAGAAAGTACAATTTAGAGATTAACTTTTTATGCTAAACTTGAATGTGTCAGGAATAGTCGATTACAATAACTTACCATGGTGTACTTTTCTTGTTCAGGTGGCGAGACATCGTAAGTCACGTCGTTGATGACTAGTCTAAAGTCGCTCTCTAAGAGTGACTCTATCGTGTTGTGACTGGATATTCTGAGACCCTCTGCAAAATAAAAAAAATTTTTAGTGATTGATTAATTTAATTATAATTACAAATGTAAAAATGAGTGAATAAAAATTTAAAGATGATATTTAAGATTGAAAGTTTGATAAATTGACCATACCTAATGTCGTAATACATGCTCTGTCTATTCCACGGTCTTCTGCTTTCAACATGTGAATAAAATCTCCCACTGTGTGGGTTATTGGTTTGAGGCTGAAGATGCACTTTTCTTTTCGTGATGGCAGAGGTACCGTGATTCGCGGGAACCCTCGATGGAAATCAATTGTAACACCTTGAAAAATATTTTAATTATAAATAATTAATTTTATGTTTATTAATAAATATTATAATAAATAATACTACGACTTTTATTTAATAAATTAAGATTTTAAAAATTTTCATTCATAATTTTTTATAATTTCGACATGAGTCGAATTTATCTTCTAGATTTTTTTATTATAATTTTTTTATAAGAAAAACCTTAAAAATTATTAAATGCCTTTTAATTTTCAGCCATAATAATAATAATAATAATAATAATAATAATAATAATAATAAATTAATTAATAAAATAAGGTGAATTTTCTCAATAATTCTGATAAGGAATATTATTAAGTTAGTCTACAGACTGGAGATTGATAGACATAATATACATGCTCGTCGCAGGTGATGTAAACACAACATGGGGTTGAACAACAGAGAATATAATAGAGAATAGAATTGAATAGAGAATATTATAGTCAAACGAGAGGAAACGGGCCGAGTCAATTCTCGCGTGATAATCGCGCAATCGGTAGTCAGTCCGTATAACCTGGTTAAGAGCCCGTTGATTTTAAGTAAAAGGTATTAGAGTGTGTAGACTCGCAATGAGAATAAACTGCTGCATCTATCTATGTACATACACAGTGCACAGCTATGGATATATTATTTATTATTGTTGTTATAGTCACATGTATGTTTATAGTCTGTTCGATGATCTTTTCTGACGGAAGCAGAACGGAACCGCGAAAGAGGCTTTTAATCAATTCCGGTGTATGTATGTATCTATATATGTTATACTATACCCTCAAGGCCTTATATCTTTCCGATTTCCTCTGGCTTTACACTTTATCCACATATCAATCTTCTCCGAGTTACCCTACAAAGAAGAGGGTTGATTTGCTCTATCTACAAATTACTTATTTACCGAGTAACTACTATTAAATTACCATAAACGTGGTTGATAGTATAGAGCTGACTCTATCGTAATCTTCTTTTTATTGAATAAATTAAGAAAAACAAATTCGGTAAGTATGTTTAACCCAAGAGAAATCAATAAAGAGAAATGTTGATGATTTTAAATACTGAAAGGATATGTTAATGATTCCCCATAATAGTTTCTAATGTATTAATAATTAATAATTAAGACAGCCCGAGAAAAGTGGAACTCTGGCTTTTTATGTTGGAAGTTAAGTGCATCTAGTGGAACCATTCGATGTTGGAAGTGGTAAGAAGCCGCAATCGGCAATTACCCCCCGCTATTACTAAACTTTTGCGCAAATTCTCACACTAGTTTCATCTACCTTATCAGTTTACCGCAAGACTGTGAGCAATTAGTAACTTACGACTAGTGTTGTGTTTATATTTAATATGAAAATAATTTTAGTTAATTTTTACCCAGCTCTCTGATGCTGTCATTATGTGATGTCATTGCAAACAATCTTTAATTCTTCACGTAAAATTAATCTACTTTTGTATTACTACTCGAGAGACATAATACTTGATATACATAATAATGCGATTACAAATCTTTCGAGCGAGTGCATGTGTATCGAGCATTACTCCATTACAAGCTCCTTAGCTTATAGGGTAATGGGTAGGAATTTATGGTAGTAATTGTTTTGAATTGTATTTTGGGTCGAAGCTACAAAGCTAAGACCCGTTCTGGAGAAAATTAACGTAAGAAAACTTTCAAGTTTTGAATAAAAGTGAACGAAAAATTGAACTTAACACTTCTACGATAAGTGTGCAGAAGTGAAAAAAAATCGGGAGTCCTGGCCATCTGGTGTTAAACTAGTGAGTCTTAAAGTGGATCCGACTGACATTGTAAACCAAATACTCAATACATAATACACGTGAATGGAATGCTGAGGATATGATAATGGAATTATCTTGGATTGCCAATAGAAATTGCACTATTAATGGACCGTAATGGCACACTGTCATCAGTAGGTACTATTAAAGTGGTAATTTACGTGTAATCAAACTATCACTCTCATCCCCTTGAAGTCTCTCTTAAGAGGGCTTGGATTCAAGCAATCGATCATGGGTGGTGTACAAAGCGGGACAAACAGCTTGGGTGATGCATTGTGGACTCATGAAAGACAGCGACAGCAAAGTCAAAGGTTTATTATTATTTGTTTATGCACTATACTGTTTATGTACACTTATGAACAATAGGGTGGAGCGAAAAAATAATTTTTTGTTGAAGTATAATTTATACCTGGTAAAAAAAAAACACATTTTTGAAAAAAAAAATTTTTTACTCAAGATTTTGAGGTGGCCCATCTGATTTTAAAAATGAATAATTAAATTTTTTGGTTTTAACAGAAAATTTTTTCCATTATTCTAGAAACTGTGGAGTGTCTCCTTTGAAGTCAATTAAAAGTTGTGAACGAAAAAAACTTTTTCTGATTATTATTGCAATTAAAAACAAAGTTTTAAAAAATAACATGCTTCTTTTTTTTTTTTTCTATTAGAACAAAAGTTAAGTTGAAAACTATCACATTCGTTAATTTTAAGATAGTTTCAAAAATTATCAGTTGATAAAAAAATTTTGTGTTAAAACTAAAAAATTAAATTTGTTATTTTAAAAATTAGTGGGCTTTCTCAGAATGTTGAGTAAAAAAATTTTTTTTTTTTTTATAAGTTACAAATTCTATCCCCAAGATAAGAAAAATACCTTTTTTTCGGTCCACCTTAACGACCATGTTATTTATTTTCTTTTTTAATAAATATAATCATATTCAAGACGTAAATTTTTGAGTGATAATTAAATTTTTTATTAGCAATGCCGAAACTTTAAAGTCTGAGTAAGGTTCATTTAATCGCGATTACAGAGTAGTCGGGTGCATATCTTTAAAGAAACTTTTCTTGTTTTTCAACTTGCTCTTCTTCATCTTCTTGTTCTTCTCCGTCCTGGTTTTGGTCTGGGTCTCGGTCTTATGTCTAAGACTACTTAGGCTAATATGAACTCAAGACTTGAATATAAACCTTTGTGTCTATCCAGGTGCTACTCAAATCTACTTAAGTTGATTTAAGGTGTTTAAAAACTTTAGTTATGTTACGTATGTTAAAACAACCACCCTTTTACCCTTAATTAAATTATAATTTCAGAGCTTGCTAAATTTATATTCAAGCTTTTACCTTTTATATTATCGCGTGATATTATTCTAATCAAACACTCGTTTGTTGTTTTTAATAATTACGTTTATTAAACCAGTAGAAAGTATGTAATAGTGAATAATAAGAGACTGAGTAATTGATTGATGGCAATAGTTGTTTTTTTAGCGATTTCTTTTATTTTTTTTTTACTCACTTGATGCTGCTGGTTTATGAGATAATGACTGACTGTTAATTGGCTTACTGTTGCCAACGGTCAAGCAACGATTATTAGTACGTGATCGCGATCTAGTTGCTCATCTCTCGTGAAGAATTATAAGAGTCGTCGCGATACTCCACTTCCCGCGTATGATTTTTTTCTTTCAGATTTTTTTTTTTTTAATTAGTGCAAAATTAGATTATGGATTTAATTATTTCAAAAATCCGTTATAGAAGTTTTTTTTTTTTTTTAAATATCGAGTATTGAGATTAATTTAAAGATTAATAAGACTTTTGAAGTTTAAAATATACATAAAATGTTACACGAAAAAAAAACTCTAAAAATTGCAAAATCCAACGAACTTATTATTGTTAATGTTGAATTTACAAATAAAATACTATCAATCTAAAATTATAAATTTAATTTTATTAATGTAAATTTTTTGTAAAATATATAATTTTGTTGCAAAAAAAGAGTGAAGTGCATTTTAAGATATTTTTATAACAATTTTATTTTTTACAAATTTCAAACTTTTATTAAACCTCATTCTAAATTATTTTCTACACTGTAAAAAATATTATGTAAATACGGTCAACACAAAATTAGTGTTAAAATTCAACACACTTTTGTGTTAAAATGACAAAAACTTTGTGTTAAAACAACACAAAGTGTGTTGAATTTTAACACTAATTTTGTGTTGACCGTATTTACATAATATTTTTTACAGTGTAGAAAATAATTTAGAATGAGGTTTAATAAAAGTTTGAAATTTGTAAAAAATAAAATTGTTATAAAAATATCTTAAAATGCACTTCACTCTTTTTTTGCAACAAAATTATATATTTTACAAAAAATTTACATTAATAAAATTAAATTTATAATTTTAGATTGATAGTATTTTATTTGTAAATTCAACATTAACAATAATAAGTTCGTTGGATTTTGCAATTTTTAGAGTTTTTTTTTCGTGTAACATTTTATGTATATTTTAAACTTCAAAAGTCTTATTAATCTTTAATTAAAATGACAAAAACTTTGTGTTAAAACAACACAAAGTGTGTTGAATTTTAACACTAATTTTGTGTTGACCGTATTTAACACAGAAATTGTGTTGATTTTACACAATATTTTTTACAGTGTACTATCAAGTTTGGTTTGCTATTAAAGTGTTTTTGTTTTTGATTTTTTAAACTACAATTTTACTAAAATATTTTGTAATAGCTACGAATGTCAAATTTACAGATTAATCTTTCTAAAATTAACAAAATTTTAAATAAATTTTTAAACAACAGAGCTGTTGTTTCCGTGAAATCATTATTAAATTCCTCAATAATTATCTCTAATTACCAAATTAAAAACATAAATTTCTAAATGTTATTTAAGGGCTTATAAATATTTTATGATTTATTGCTTTCTCAATAATGAATCATGAATAAATAAAACTTGAATTATAAATAGTATTAATAAAAAAGAAATCTTGAAAATATGATAATAAATAATAACCATAACATAATACAAGGTAGATTATTCCAATGTGGAATAAACATGTCGGTCCGGTAAAGGATAATAATCCAAGTATCGACATACCATCATCAGTTTTAGAAGAATATGAATATACATGCCCATATATGTATGTTTGCATGTTAATGTATGCTTATACAGCACATATTAACAACAGCGTAAATCTATTTGTCGAGTGAAATGCGGTCAAGTATTGGCTTTGTATTCATCAGTAGCAAGCCGAGATAATCCTGCCTTCCACATCGTATATAGCTGAGAATTCATCCTACCCACTGAAACGATTGTTTGGGCTTTATGCTGCCGCTACTCTCATCGACCAAAACAGTAATATAACACAACGCAACAAA